GAGTCTGCTGCTCTAGGTGCTAGTGAGTCTGCTCTCTCTGGTACTGCGCCTGCTGAGGCCTTGCACACCTTCACGCTTGACTCAGGTGCTTCCCGCTGTTTCTTTCGCGACAGTACCGCACTCACACCACTCCCAGCACCTGTTGCTGTCTCTCTGGCTGACCCCTCTGGGGGCCCAGTCCTTGCTCGTTCCTCCACTGTTCTCCCGTATCCGGCGGTTCCATCTGGCTCACTGTCAGGTCTTCACCTCCCCTCGTTCTCTACGAACTTGGTGAGCAACGCCGTCCTTCAGGATGTATGGGTTGACACCTTTACTCCAGGAGGACAGCGTGTGGCAATCTGTACGTGCTCCCAGACTGGCCGGCACCTGGCCACGTTCACCCGTGCGCCTGGCTCGAGTCTGTACACACTGACTACTGTGTCTCCTCAGATAGCTGCGTCTGCGTCTGCGACAGGTCAGCTAGCGCCCCCCTGCTCGTGTCGCGCTCTGTCGCACCAAACCCTCCTTTGGCACCACCGTCTTGGTCACCCCTCAGTGCAGCGCCTCCGTGGCATGCACTCTCGTCTCCTTGTCTCTGCCTCCCCTCCCACCCTCGCCTGCCCCTCCCAGCCTTCCCTGTGTCGAGGGGCAGCAGCGCGCCTCCTCACTCCTCCTCGTTTCCCCCGACGACTGCTCCCCTGCAGACTCTCCACATGGACGTGTGGGGTCCAGCCCGCGTCCGTGGATAGGGCCGCGAGCGCTACTTTTTGCTGGTTGTTAACGACTACACGCGTTACACCACGGTCTTCCCCTTGCGCAGCAAGGGGGAGGTCCCTGATGGTTTGATCCCTTGGATCCGCGCTGTCCGTCTCCAGCTCCGCGAGCGGTTCGAGACGGACCTTCCCGTCCTGCGTCTGCACTCTGACAGAGGTGGTGAGTTTGCCTCCGACCTTCTTCGGGACTTTTGTCGTGGGGAGGGCATTCGCCAGACGTTCACGCTTCCGGCCTCTCCGCAGCAGAATGAGGTTGCTGAGCGCCGCATTGGCTTAGTCATGGAGGCCGCTCGTACCTCCATGATCCATGCGGCTGCCCCCCATTTTCTGTGGCCGTTTGCGGTCCGATACGCTGCGCATCAGCTCAACCTCTGGCCCCGTGTCTCCTTGCTAGAGACCTCGCCGACACTGCGTTGGACGGGAGAGGTTGGCGATGCATCGGTGTTCCGGGTCTGGGGATCTCGTGCCTTTGTCCGCGATACGTCCGCGGACAAGCTCTCCGCCCGCGCCATTCCCTGCGTCTTCCTTGGTTTTCCCCCTGACGCGCCTGGCTGGCAGTTTTACCACCCCACTTCGTGCCGTGTCCTGCCCTCTCAGGACGTCACGTTCGACGAGTCGGTTCCCTTTTACCGTCTCTTCCCCTACCGCACTGCCCCGCTCCCCCCCCCGCCGCTCTTCCTTGCACCAGGTCCTCCTCCGGTAGACCCCCTCCCCCCTCAGGGTCCTGCTCCCTCAGGTGTGTCTCAGGTAGACCCTGTCGAGCCTGTTGAGGTCGCTGTCGACTCTGGTGCTGCTGGGGGTGGTGCTGCTGGGGGTGCTGAGCCTGCGCGTGCGGAGCCTGGGGGTGCTGAGCCTGAGCGTGCGGAGCCTGGGGGTGCTGAGCCTGAGGTTGTTGAGTCTGGGGTGCTGAGCCTGGGGGTGCTGAGCCTGGGGGTGCTGAGCCTGGGGGTGCTGAGCCTGGTGGTGCTGAGCCTGGGGGTGCTGAGACTGGGGGTGCTGAGCCTGGGGGTGTTGAGTCTGCTGGAGGTCCTACAGGTGCCTCGTCACGGCGGGAGCCTCTCTCTCCACCGCAGCTGCGCGAGTGGTTTGCTCGGCGCTGGAGCCTTCGGAGAGGCGCTGCTGGAGCTGGAGGTGCTGCCGGCGTTGGAGCTGGAGTTGCTGGAGCCACTGGTCCCGGAGGTGTTCGTCCTGGAGGTACTGGAGCTGCTGGAGCTGGTGGTACTGCGGGCGTGGGAGCCGGAGGTGGTGGAGCTGCTGGTCCTGGAGGTGCTAGAGGTGCTATAGTCGCTGGTCCCGGAGGTGCTCGTACTGGAGGTACTGGAGCTGCTGGAGCAGGTGGTGCTGCAGGAGTTGGAGCAGGAGGTACTGGAGCTGCTGGAGCTGGAGGTGCTACTGGAGCTGGAGCTGCTGGAGGTGCTGGAGCTGGTGGTACTGCAGGCCTTGGAGCTGGAGACCCTGGAGCTGGGGGTACTGGTGCTGTCGCGACCGTACTTCGTTCCACTGCTTCAGCAGGTTCTTGGTCTCCCGCCTTCTACTGGCCCTACTCCTCCCCTACTGTGTCCACCGCCTGACCAGTCGCAGTCGAAGTTACAGCCAGCCTCCCCACTGCCTGCTCCTTCTCCTTACACTGGGCCGACAGGAGGTCTTGCGGAGCGTCGTGAGCCTGAGTCTCGTCCTGCGTCGCCTGTTCGCGATGTTCGCACTGGTCGTCGTGTTCCGCGTCCGCGTCCTCCTCCTTTCCCAGGCACGCACCAGATGGCACTTCGTCCTTCCTCTGGTCCACAGCGTGTCCATCTGCCGTCTCCTCCTGCGTCCTCTCTTCCTGACGTTGCTGACCCGCCGTCAGACCTTGCTCGTGCTGCCAATCCTACTATCACACATCTTCTAGCCACTGTTGTCACTGACCCTTCGTTTGAGTCCACTGATGCGTCTGCTCTAGCTGCTGAGCTTGTTGACTTTGCTGCCGCCTGTCGCCTCGACTACGCCGCTAGTCTTGTTGCTAAGTCTGAGTCTGTCTGTCCTCCGTCCGTCGGGGGTGAGTGTGCTCTTGGCACGGACGTCCTTGAGGACAGGCAGGAGGACTTTGAGTGTTTTGCAGCTGCTTTACCTCATCTTGTGTCCATGCTGATTGCACCTGAGGGAGACCCGGATGCACCAAAGATCCCAACCCCGCGCTCTTACGCAGAGGCGATTGAGGGTCCCTACTCCTCTCAGTGGCAGACAGCCATGGACGCAGAGATGGCTTCCTGGAAGTCCACAGGCACCTACGTCGACGAGGTTCCCCCACCTAGGGCGAACATCGTCAGTGGCATGTGGATTTTCAGGGTGAAACGGCCGCCAGGTTCTCCGCCTGTCTTCAAGGCGCGTTACGTTGCTCGAGGCTTCAGTCAGCGACAGGGAGTTGACTTCTTCCAGACCTTCTCCCCTACCCCGAAGATGAACACTCTTCGGGTGCTGCTGCACGTTGCCGCACAGCGTGACTACGAGCTTCACTCTCTTGACTTCAGCACAACCTTCCTACAGGGCAGCCTGCACGAGGAGATCTGGCTGCGCCGCCCACCTGGCTTCACTGGGTCGTTTCCTGCAGGTACCCAGTGGAGCCTCCGGCGGCCAGTCTATGGTCTCCGCCAGGCGCCTCACGAGTGGCACGACACACTGAGGACGACGCTTGTGGCTCTTGGGTTTGCTCCTTCGACTGCTGACCCGTCGCTGTTTCTACGCACCGACACTTCTCTGCCGCCATTCTACATCCTCGTGTACGTCGACGACTTGGTCTTTGCCACTGCTGACACTGCTGGAATGGCCTTTGTGAAGTCAGAGCTGCAGAAGAGACACACGTGCACAGACCTGGGTGAGCTGTGCAGCTATTTTGGCTTGCAGATCACCCGGGATAGAGCACGGCGCACCATTACCTTGACTCAGTCACACATGGTGCAGCAGGTCCTTCAGCGCTTCGACTTCCAGTACTCCTCGCCACAGTCCACTCCTCTGCCTACCGGTCACTCGCTCTCAGCTCTGCCTTCGGATGAGTCCGTAGAGCCGAGTGGCCCGTATCCAGAGCTTGTGGGCTGCCTCATGTACCTGATGACCTGCACTCGACCTGACCTCGCTTACCCTCTTAGCTTCCTGGCACGCTACGTTACGCCCGGGAGACACCGACCAGAGCACTGGAAGGCCGCTAAGAGGGTGATGCGCTACTTGTGCAGTACGTCGGGCATGGGGCTCGTGCTTGGAGGACGGGCTCGTGTTGTCCTCACTGGCCACGTAGACGCTTCTTGGGTTGACGACTTGGCTACGCAGCGGTCGTCACTGGGTTACACTTTCAGCCTTGGCTTCGGCTCTGTTTCGTGGCGGTCTACCCGCTCGTCTTCTGTTCTCAGCTCTAGTTGTGAGGCTGAGATCTACGCAGGGGCCATGGCTGCACAGGAGTTACGCTGGCTCACCTACCTGCTGACCGACTTGGGAGAGCCGCCTCGTTCTCCTCCAGTTCTGTACGTCGACAACAAGGCCATGATCGCCTTGTGTCAGGAGCACAGACTGGAGCACAGGACGAAGCACATCGCTCTGCGCTACTTCCTTGCTCGAGAGTTGCATCAGCGTGGTCAGCTTCGTCTTGTTTACGTGGCCTCTCGGGCCAACACTGTTGATATCTTCAACAAGGCACTTCAGCCTTGTGATCATCAGCGTTTCTGTACTGTTCTAGGCCTTGTGCCTACTCGGCCTCACTTGCTCACTTCTTGACCTTGTTTGTACTGTGATCTATATACTTATACCTGCATGCTTACACTTGCTAGGTTTTGATCACTGTACTGCTTGTTCTACATTATATAACTCTGCATGTGAACTGGCCTTGTGGCCATTTGCTTGTGCTCAGAATGTGTGGTGACTTTGTGATCCACCCTGAGCTTGCTTTGTTTTGTCGTTTCTCTTGTCTGGTCTTGTGACCATTACTTTCTCTGGCTATCCCCCATTTCGCCTATGGGGGTGTGTCAAAATATATATGCTTCTGTGATTTAGGCTATATGGGTGTTAGCTCTAAGGGGTACACAATTCCTCTCGATGTTGTTCTTGTACCCCTCCCCTTCACCTAATGACCAACTATTCTTCTTACCTAATCTCGACATTTAGGGCTAACGCAGTAGGGCACCCGTACCGCTCTATCGAATGACAGCACTGTTTTGCAGGTGGCTCCAGTGGGGCAGACGCCACAGGGTGAGGCTGACGGGTGGGGATGGGCGCAGTGAGGGATTAGTGCAATGCTCGTGGGGGTTTGGGGCTCCAGAGGGGGTGCAACAGGGCGAGGCTGAAGAACGCACGCAAGGTAGAAGAAAGGCATAGAGGGAGAAGCAAGGCAGAGAGGGAGAAGCAGGGGATAGAGGGAGAAGCAGGGGAGAGAGGGAGAAGCAGGGGAGAGAGGGAGAAGCAGGGGAGAGAGGGAGAATCATGGGAGAGGGGGAGAAGCAGGGGAGAGAGGGAGAAGCAGGGGAGAGAGGGAGAAGCAAGGCAGAGAGGGAGAAGCAGGAAAGAGAGGTAGAAGCGGGGGAGAGAGGGAGAAGCAGGGGAAAGAGGGAGAAGCAGGGGAGAGAGGGAGAAGCAGGGGAGAGAGGGAGAAGCAAGGGAGAGAGAGAGAGCAAAAGGGGAGAGAGGGAGAAGCAGAGGAGAGATGGAGCAGCAGGGGAGAGAGGGAGGAGGAGGGGAGAGAGGGAGAAGCAGGGGAAAGAGGGAGAAGCAAGGGAGAGAGGGAGAATCAGGGGAGAGAGGGAGCAACAGGGGAGAGAGGGAGAAGCAAGGGCAAGTGGGACAAGCAGGGGAGAGAGGGAGAAGCAGGGGAGAGAGAGGGCAGCAAGGGAGAGAGGGAGAAGCAGGGGAGAGATGGAGCATCAGGGGAGAGAGGGAGAAGGAGGGGAGAGAGGGAGAAGGAGGGGAGAGAGGGAGAAGCAGGGGAGAGAGGGAGAAGCAGGGAAAAGAGGGAGCAGAGAGGGAGAAGCGGGGGAGAGAGGGAGCAGCAGGGGAGAGAGGGACAAGCAGGGGAGAGAGGGAGAAGTAGGGGAGAGGGAGAAGCAATACAGTGGTGGAATGAACATGAATGAAGGGTGGACATGAGTGCAGTGCAGTATGCTGGCGCGATAGTTAGTGCAGGAGTGGAACTCCTGAGAAGTGAGTGGAAAAGGAGGTTGGCTGGCAAAAAGAGAAACATCATGCACTCTCACTCTCATGGGGTGGAAATAATGGTTAAAAGGATGGCAATATGTGGAAACTTGAAAGAATGGCATGGGGTCGTATGGCATGGGGTTGATAGAATGGCTGTGTTGAGTTGAGAGTGAGTTCAGGAACACCATGCTCACTCAACCCACTGCCACGAATGCCATGCTCACAAAGCCCACTAGCAAAAACAGCATGGTCTCTGCACTGGTTTGCCCACCTCACTTGTTGGCATGGGGTTGATATACGAATGCATGTGTTTGGGTACCTGAAGGGTGGCAGGTGGAAGCACACACACAGTATCACAACGTGCCCACGAAACGTTGACTTTATTCCTCCCCTCCAGTCCCCTCCTCCTCCCCTCCCCTCTCCTCCCCTCCCCCTCCTCCCCAGCTATTCGTGTCCTCTCGTCGTGCCTCGCACATAGCCACACCACGCCCCCACTCACATGGCATCGCTGACACTCACCACCCCCCACTCACATGGCCTACCCCACTCACCTGATAGCGGAAGGGCCCGGGTTACTAATGCGATCCACCGCCTCGCCCTGGCAACCGGTTCTCTCAAAGAACAAGACCCGCGAGCACTGGAGCCCGTCATCCACGCCGTTCAAATCGATGTTGCCCGAATATACGTTCCACGACACCACAACGCGGCTCCGCCGCTTCACCCATGGGTCAATGCTAATGCATCGCTGCGTGCCGAAGCTCAGCCGCGACATATTCATCACCACCGATGTTATAACCGGCACCTTGGAAACTCTACTGGTGCTGCTGGCGGTGCTGCTGACAGTTGCGCGGTGAACGGTGGTGCTGCCGCCATCGGAGGCCTCAAGCGCAATCCTAGCATTGACCTTCCGGCTTGCTGTTTCGGCCACCGTGTCTTCTGCATCTTCATACGCGGCGTCCAGCATGCTTCACAGTGCCATGCGCTGAGTCAAGCTTTTCACCGTGGCGTTGCCATATGCTGCCTCCATTAACTGAACCGCTGCAGAGGACAAAGGAGAGGCCGATGCAAATTGAGGGAGCAGATTGAGAGAGCAAAGTGTGAAGGGAGTTGAAGCTATAAGGAGGTGGAAAACAGAAGCAAGCAGAAAGGAGGGAACGGGAAGAAAGCCATGAATCCGAGAGCTTGAAAATAATGGCAAGAACTGACCACGACTGAAAGACTTTGCAACATGAGAGAAGCAGACTGACCGCAGATGAGGGCAAGGGCGAGCAGCAGGAGTCCGGCAGGAGTGGCACGCATCGACCCCCAGTGGGCCATGATGATAACGGTGAGGGGTTTCGCGGCAGATTCTGCGCGGAAGAGGCGGCGAAATAGGCGCGGAAGAGGCGACAAAAATAGGCGCGGAAGAGGCGGCGAAAGTGGCGCGGAAGAGACGGCGGAAGTGGCGCGGAAGAGGCCCAACAGTGGCGCAGCAGAGGATCTCTTGCTGTCACGAGCGATTCACGGGCTCCGAGTGGTAAGGTAGTACTTTTCCAATACCAAGCACTATGGATCGAAAAAGGTACTGTTTAGTGCAAGGAAAATATAGTGCTATGAAAACTGGACTGTGATGAACTGGTGACATATTGTGCGAGTTATGAGCGCGAGCCAAGCATGGCAGTCGCTGCGCCATAGTAAATAATGCTAGGAATGCGCTGTTGACATATATGTGCTTGGTCCCGTGAATCACGGCGACAATGAATTATTATTTGATCTGTAGGAACTTGTTTTGGGTTTGACTCGGGTGAGTTGCATAACAGAATGTGTGCGAGTGCTTGCTTGGTCGGGAGCATCCACATCTCAGTCGCACGGTGCTTGACTCGTGTGAAACGCAGGGACGGAAATGATCGGAACGAACGCGATGCACTATCGTTCACGAATTACAAATCACTGGCACAACGCGGTGCCCTTTTCGAATTGTCGCTTACTTCCGTTCGTGGATTCCAATTTTAGGTTCAGCAGTGCACTAGGCGAAAATCTTAACGAAACCATCATAGAAAAGTGTTACGAGGAAATTATCAACAGCAAACCATGGAGGGCATGAGGCTGATTTTGTACGCGGTATGGAAGGTGACCCTCCCGTTATGAAGTTAGTTGTTTTCAATAACTAGCAAGGTTGTTTTTTTCTGCAGGGTGCCCAAATATACAGTGCTTCCGAATGTTCCCGTCATTTCGGGTTAGTGTGGTCCCTTGCGCATGGCTTGTCCACCTCAGCAAAGTCCGCCGGTACACGTGGCCTTCTCCGTCCCGTTTTTGGGTTTCCCACGATAATATCGCGCGTTAGTCTTGAACTCCGTCATGAAGCTCTCCGCTTCTCTGCTGCTGCTTATCCTCGTTTGTACTAGCTCATCCTTCCCTTCTCTTACTGTAGATCACCACCGTGCTTTTGGTTTTCCGGTTCGGCGTTCTTCATGTGGTGTTCTTCAGGAAGGTAAGTGTGACCATTCTGCGTCTAACGAGTCCCTCGGTTGCAGCTTCCCTGGCAGGATTGGCTACAAGGTTCATGCTCCCAAGACCACGGATAAGGTACGTTTTTCGTTGGGTACGGTTGGATCTGACTGTGCAACTGTGTTCGTAATTTCAGGAGGACACCTCAGCTGATCTTTCCCCGCTGGTCTTATCGTCCCGTATCTATCCCCCAATTACCGGAAGCCCTCCTCCGTCCCGGCCAAACTCCCCTGCGGAAAGCCTTTCTTGTTTGGCTGGGTCACCCTCTGCTGCTTGGCTTCATGCAGACCCTGTGCGGCGCTTTCGTGCAACTCTCCATGTCACCTCTGCTTCCGCTGGAGTCAGCCGTTAGTCAATCTCGCTGGCCCTTACGCCTGTTGCTCACCCTCTTCTCATGCTTGGTTCCACGACTCGGTATGCCGATCTGGCACACAGTCACTCCTGACGGGTTGCTTAGGCCATTGCCGAAGCGCCCAACCCATGGCCCTCAAACACAAGTCCTGCGCTGGGCGCCTCGGCTCCCCGCCGTGGCTCCTCTACTCCATCCTCTCCTCTCACTGCAACCCGTTGGTCCCCTGGCGTTGGTATAAACGCCACCCGCCGTTAATCCCTCCTCCATCCTTCACCACCATGGACTCTCACCACAACCCGGACGCCGTCATGGCTGATGATCAGCTCGTTGCAGGGGACGACACGATCACCGATCTTGGTGATTATGTGCTTGACGACATCCCTGATGGCGCCCTGCCTGAGCTTACCGAGGAGCCCGCTGCTAAGAAGCAGTGTGGTGAAGGGACATCCTCTGGTCCTGCCGGCCCCAGCACTTCTACTGCCGCGCCGCCGGCGCCTCCGCCGATGCAGTGCTCCAATTCCTCCGGCAGCTCCGCGGCTACGGCCCCCTCGTCCTCGCGTCCGTCGGCCCCACCAAGGCCGAGGTCTGCTCCGCCCGCTCGCCCTCAGCCCCCTGCCCAGGAAGCCGCGGCTGAACAGCCTGCGTCCGGCTCTGCTTCTAACCTGGCCCTCTCGGTGCGCTTCCGCCATCTTCGCCGCCACCGTCCCTTAGTGGGTACTGAGCTCCGATCCCTGACGCGGGACATACAGTCGCTGGTGGCCGTAATGTTTCCGGAGTGCTCTGAGGAAGTCCGGGAGAGCATCCTCGCCCGGATCGCAGCCGCCCTTCCCGGCCCGGCGGCCTTCAATGGCACCGTACCACAGTTTGACGCGGCCTCGGGCGAGCCGCTTCGCCTGCCGCGCAGGTCATACTTCCGCCACATCTATTCCTGGGCCTCGGCTGCTGATGCCCGCACCTTCCGTGGGCTGTTCGCGAACCCCTTCCTGGTGCGAATCCACAACAGCCGCCCGATCGAAGTCAAGATCCACATCGATCCTTACCCTGTCTTCACGGCAGCCAAGGCCCGCAGTGACACGCATGTGGTGATTCGGAACGTGCCTCTCGGTGTTCAGGCCGCGAACCTGCGCCAGTCCCTGCTCAACGGCAAAACCGAGGACAATCTTCCCTGGCTTGCGGACCTTCTGCACTTTCACCGGCTCAAAGACCCCTACGACGGATCAGCTTACTCTCAGATGCTTGGCCTTCCCGTCGCGGCTGAAGGAGACCCGACCTTTCAGCGCATCTCGGCTATCCTCTGGATCCCGGATCAGGTGGAACCTGCCTTCCTCAACATCACCAGCCACTCGTGCTCTCTGTGCTCCAGTAACCATCGGCTCGAGGACCATGCCTGCTTCGCTATCACCCGACGCAACCGGGTCTCCAACAGGCAGTCCATCACCGTATCCGCTCTTCAGGCGGTCAACGGTAACTTTCCCTCCCTTCCCCGGTCTTACCTGGCTTCTCCCTTCTCCCCCCACCTGCTGGTCATCTCTCCAGCTGAGCTCCCTCTTCCCTTTCATCACCAGTTTCTGCTACTTCGTTCATTCTCTGCTAATCGGTTTCTGGTACTTTCCTTCTCGGCACCGCTGTGCCTGCGCCGTATCACCCCCCTCCCCGCCCTCCCCCCTTTTTATGCTCATTTCGCCCCCGCTGCTCCCTTCCTCAGGCAAGCTCCTCGGCCAGCACGCTGCTTCGGCTGCCTTCAAGAAGGATCCAGGCCTGCTCCTCATCGGTCTGGACCTCGATGTGGAGATCTGGGCCTGCTCGACCTGCGACTTCGAGTGTGGACTCGCGCTCGACAGTGCGATGTTCCACCTCAACTCCGAGCAGCACCGCACCAAGCTGCAGGACCCTGCGCTCCTGAACACCACCAAGGACAAGTACGGGGCCTGGAAGGCCGAGACCTTAGTGCAGCACCCCCGCATCAAGGCTCTTCTGCAGTAGCCAATCCTCCTGCGGTTGTGGCTGCTGCTGCTGCTGCTGGTTCTGGTGGTGATGGCGCAGCTGCTGCTCAATCTGCTCAATCTGCTCCTTCTGCTGCTCTTGTCGTTGCTCTTGCAGCATCTGGGAGTCACCAGCAGGGGGAGACCGAGCAGTCAGCCCTCCAAAAATACTCTCCAGTACGCTCCTGGTCGGCACGTCTTGTCCACATCCCAACTGCTCCTCCCACTGCGGAACACTCGCGTCACCCTCTCCTCGCTCTCCCATTGTACGCTCAGGATCGCTTCCCATGCCTCGTCCCCTCCATCCAACGGTCGGATGGGAACCATCCACCGGCTCAGGCTTCACCTCGCCCATTGTAACGGTAACCGGCTGTTGAATCACTGTGAAAGGGAGAGACAACGCATATCCCCCTTCAAAGGAAGTTTGCCACGCATCTGTATCACATATCCCTCCAGTTCCCGTCTCCCTTCCCTACCCCGTGGATGCACATGCCTGCGCATGTGGGGGTCCCCGCATTTGATCAATGTTAGTCCCCTTAACCATCCGATGTATCAATGTGAACGGGATTAACAAACAACAAAAAATTAACGACCTGCGAGGCTGGCACAATAAACGAGACCCAAAAGCAGATATCCTCATCCTTGTGGATACCAGGCTTACTCTTAACTTCCAAAAACTTATACTATCACTTAAACCCTCCTCCTACGCGCACTGCCCTTCTCCATTTCTCAACCGCTCCAAACCAGGGGGGCTCGCGGTCCTAGTATTTCACAACCAGATCTCCATCTCTTCTCAAGAATCTTCCCCAGACGGGCGAATACTTTCCCTGCACATCAACTTCCTCGGCGAGCAGCTCCGAGTCATTGCCATTTATGCTCCCTCCACCCCCTCGCTCAGACGTCCCTGGTGGAAAACCCTCTTCTTATCCGCGCTCAACAAACCAACCTCCTCGGCCGGAACAATCGTCGCAGGCGACTTCAATGCGGTTTGCTCGGCCGACGATCGCAACCGACCTCCCTTGGCGCACGAAACCTCGGAAGGTGCTCTCCTATCCGCAGCACTCCAGCAGCATTTGCTGGTTGACACCTTCCGAACCATCTACCCTAACGAACCCATGTTTTCCTTCTTCGCCCGCCTCGAGTCCTGCAAGGTGACTCTCCTCCCACCGCCTCTCGCCTGGACCGCATATACGCCTCGGCATCCCTAAAGTCCCGGATTATTGACGCCCAATATGCATCCGCCTCTAAGGAGCTTACCGACCACGATCTGGCCCCCTCTTGTGTCCTCCAATGTGACTCCCCCAATCTCGCCCCCAGGCCATGGCGGCTTCCGCACTCCCTCCTACGCCGCCCTCACACGGCTCACCTCGTGGCCTCGGCATGCCAATCCCTCCCTCCTGCTCTGACCGGAGATAGCTGGGACGCCTGGAAGCTCGCTCTTTGCAACCAGCTCAAAGCCTTCGGCAGACAGGAGAAGATACGAATCAAGAAAACATCGGATCACCTGCAAAATCTGGTCAGTCACCTCAGAATCTCTTGCGCCATCAACCCCACGGACGAAGGACTTGCCGAACAACTGCGCATTGCCTCCCAGCAATTCGACAAATACGAAGCCTCCCGCGCGGCCGACATTGCCCTGAAAGCGAAGCTAAAAGTCGAGGGCCCCCGTGAAATGGGGGTCTCCTCCTTGCTGGTGGGTATCAACTCCCGTATAAAGGCCTCTCTGGTCTCCTCTCTCCAATCCCCCTCTGGCGAGCTCATCTCGGACCTCCCTGGCATGAGCGACTTATGCACCTCCTTCTTCCAAGAGCTGTACAGCGCACCTCATCCCGCGCAACCAGATGCTAAATTCTGGTCCCATGTGCCCCCCTCCCACACCCCCCCGCACGTCACCTCTCGCCTTGCGCTCCCCTTCTCCATGGAGGAAGTCTCTTCAGCCATCACCAAACTTCCACGCGGCAAAACCCCAGGGCCGGACGGCTTGCCTGGAGAGCTATTTCGCTCCTTCAAAGCTAATTTCACCCCAGCCATCCACTCCCTGTTCCTCGCCTCCTCCTCCGCCCTCCCCCCAACCATGCTGCAGGGCCGCACGGTGCTTATCCCCAAAAAAGGGGACACCACCGTCCTGGACAACCTGCGGCCGATCACACTTATGAATTCCGACTATAAAATCCTCGCAATTTGTCTCGCCTCTCGCCTCCAACCCCTGCTCCCCTCCCTAATTCATCACTCGCAGGCCGCGTTCATCAAATCCAGGAAAATAGGCGACACTCTTAACGACACTCTAGACATTTTTGACTGGGCCGCCACCCAGAACATCCCCATGCTTGCCCTTACGGTCGACATCCGCAAAGCCTACGACTTAGTCGATCGTGAGTTCATGCTCTCATGCCTCGCCTTTCTCGGACTCCCCCCCCCCTTCTTGAACTGGGTCCGGCTTATGCACACCAACACCACCACCCGGATACCCGTTAACAATTTCTGTGGACCGGCCATCCCCGTCCGCTCTGGCGTTCGCCAAGGGTGTCCCCTTGCCCCTCTCCTCTTTCTCTGCGTTATCGAAGTCTTCCATCGATACTCCTCTCACTTCCTTCCTGGCTTCCCTATTTCCCGCACCCAGCGACGTCTGATGGCATGCTATGCTGACGATGTGACAATATTCCTCAACTCGGACGACGAGCTTCAAACGGCCTCCCATGTCCTCCTCTCCTTCGCTGCTGTGTCAGGCGAATACCCGAACTGGTCTAAATGCGCCATCATTCCTTTCCACACCCCCCCCCTCCGACATCACCTACGCAGGCGCCATTCCCATACGAGGCGAATCCGAGTTCGAGCGGATTCTAGGAATCTTTGTCGGCCAGTCCGGCCGCTCGGACGTCACCTGGGAGAAAGCACAGTCTCAAGTCAAACGCTCTGCCAAATTCCTAGCTAACCTCCACGCCACATCCTCCTGCCGGAAAAATTTGTCCAACATTTTCCTCAATTCGGCCTTGACTTATCCCGGCAGATTCCAGCCCCCCCCCTCCCCTTCCATCAATGCTATCGACGCGGTGGTGGGGAACCTTCTCTCCTCGTCCAAGTATCGAGACGAAGGCCGGACCTCACGCCTTCTCACTCACAGCACGATATACAACAAAATCGAGCACGGCGGGCTCGGGGCTATCCGACCCTCCACACAAATTCTCGCCCTAAATGCCCAACGCGCACTGCGCCGTTTTTCCCACCTTCCCACCGCAGCCGTCGCTAGGGAGCTCGTACCCATCCCCTTCGGCCTCCACGGGTTCCTGCTTCACGAAGATTATATCACGGTCCTCCCCGCCTCCGTGCCCGTCCGCCTGCGAGAAGAGGTCCGGAGTCTTGCCTCCCTCTCCCTCACTATTCTCCCCCCCCGCCTCGAATTCTGGTGTATCCTCGCGGAACCGGCCCCGTTCAACCGCCTCATCTGTAAGCCAGACGGACGACCATTTGGCAGACTCAAAGACGAAGCATTCCTAATCACCGAGGAAGTCCGCATTGGCCACATCGTACGCCGAGACGACACAGGCGCTCGCCGGATGACCGAGGAGGAAATCATGCTCAAATACCCCCCCCGTGCCTACCCCTGCAGCCGTCGCATCCTCAACGAAATATACGAGGCAATGCCGGACGAGTGGTGGGCAGCCCTATCCTCGTCTCACAGCCTAGTGCCTCTGTCTTCCGGAGACTGGGTGCTAATTGCGGCGGACATGTCGTCCCCTCCTCGCATGGCATACGAAGTTGAGTCTGTGCTCTCAACAGATTCTTTCCAGGCTATCGCCTACCCTGTTGACCCAGTTGGCAGAATCTCGAAGGCGGCAGAGGAGCGATGCCTCCTCTTCTTTCGAGATACAGTGCAGGTGCTCGTTACGGATCGGTGGCTATGCGGAACCTTCTGCTCGGGAGCGGGGCTGGCGGCAAGGTTGGAGATTCTGCAAGAAGGTGCTCCGTCGCTAGCAGCTATTCGGAACATGGCGTACACGCAGCAGCCGCTCCCGCACGCACAACGGTGGCTTAACGTCCTCCCAGACCCAGGACCCAGCCTTGTTCCTGACTATACGCACGACTTTCTCTCTGAACAACCCTCCTCACAACGCGACATGTTGTTCCGGCTCTACTCCCGAGCTCTGCCCTCCGGATCGCCCTTCCTATACGCAGCAGACAAGGGAATATGCGGCGGGTGCAATAGAGGCGTCGTTGAAGATTTACCTCACCTCTTCTTCGATTGCGGCGTCGCTCAACCCCTCACTGCAGCTCTACAACGCACCGCCCGCTCACACTTAGGAATCTCCACCCCGGCGGCTCTGACCCTGTTCCCTCTCTCCTCAGCAGCAGGACGTATAGCCCCATGGAGTCTCTTGGTTGGCGCAGCCGCGAAGGTCATCTGGAACTCCCGCTGTAGCCATAGATACAGACAAACCCCCCACAACTCCTTCGAAGCCCTGCACACCGTTCTAAATCTCTTCCTACCGGCCTTCAAAATCCTTCTCTGGCGGGCTTCCAATGGGTAAAAAAAAAAGAGAGCTCGGGCAGCTCACCGAGTCAAGCTCGCCGTCCAACACCGGCTGTTCGTCTTCCCCGAACCCAACTGCCCGGAGATTCACCCCGACTTCAGGGCCACTTGGCTGCTTACCGACCCCTTCCGCCCTCCATAATCGAACGCTTCTGCCACATGTCAGCTGGATTTGCATCTACTTCACAGGTGCCTCCACCCTTCGTGGTGGGAGGATGACGTGTCTTCACGTGCTCCCCTGGCGGGAGCCAGGCTATAGCTTGCTTCCTTATCTAGCTGCTTGCATGTTTGTAAACTGGTTACGACCTAAATAAAACCTTAAACCCCACGATAATATCGCACAAGATACCTAGTTTTCTATTTCGGGTTATTTGTCTTCTCTGTTGTTGCAACTGTCACGACCCACCCTGCAACAACATGAGGAATAGCTCAATTGGCGAACTACAGCAAGCGATTTTATGGCCTTTGAGGCGGAGACGAGGTCGCAGAAATGTATATGTCTGAACGGAGCGAAAACCAATCGTGCTGGAGGTCCCCGACTAGCGAACATGGAAGGGTTGTTACATAGAACGCTCTCCAAATTTGGGTGCAAATTTCCAGGTACAAGAGGACGACATTCACGCTTGGACTCTGATGAGCCAGTGAACGCTCCCTCTCGCCTGGAGAACAATGGCTTTCTTGCAATTACCACCGCTGCTTGCACACTTCGCGCGGGACTCACGACCGTCGTGAATTTATCGTAACAGAATTCGTGAACCTCGTCAGACCACGGAATGGCTTGCGAAAGTCGAATTCGGGGAGCTGGCGACAAACACAGTTCGAGAAGGCAAATTGATCAAACCACCAAGCTGTTGAGCTTCCCTCGAAATAGTAGGTCCAAGCCAAAGCGGCATAGAGCCAGGCATCTGTAGTGTCGGCCATCTAGGGTTTCATCTATAGTCGCATCGTTCGTTATTCAGGTTCTATAATGGCTAAAGCGGTATCGGTCCGAGCGGACAGAGCGTCAGATGGCGGCGGAGGGACGGGAGTAAGCCAAGTCGAATTCACGAAGACCTCTGCTGCATTGCCGGCTGTAGCCGCCGCCGCCGCCGCAGCAGCAGCAGCAGTAGTTTGTGTAACGGAGACAGGGGGAACAGTAGATGCGGGCGAAGAAGCAGGAGTCACAACACGAGGCGCAGGCAGTGAAGGGATAGCTGAAGCAGGCAGGGAAGGAACAGTTGTAGCAGGCAGTGAAGGGGCAGATCCAGCCGGCAGTGAAAGGAGAGATGTACGAGGCAGAGAAGAGACAGCTGTAGCAGGCAGTGAAAGGGCAGCTGTAGCAGCAGTAGGGCCATCGACGGGCAGCGATGGCTCAGATCCGAGCAGGCACACACCGTGCGACCAGGGCACTCGTCGCACGAGGTGTCGCGACGCAGCGAGGAAGTGGGATTTTCGCAGCAACGACAGCAGCGGTAGAATCTCGTCACAGGGCATAGAGAGTAAGTCTGGGAGGCAGCCGTGTAAGGGAAGGAGCGGGGAAGGAGGGATGGGGGGAGGCGCAGGGGCAAAGCAGTCTGGGCAGGCAATTAGCGCCAAAGCACCGGTTAGCACCAAAGCATCGACTACTAGCTTTAAGGCTCCCACGAGCAGCAACGCAGCGCCTAGCACCGCCAAGGCAGCGCCGCTCCTGGGTCGGCTGTCAGGCCCCTCGCGCGTTCCCGCTGTCTCCCTGCACGAGTGCCCTGTCTTCCACCCGTCGCCCGAGGAGTTCGCCGACCCCTTGCGATTCATCGCACGCGTTCGCCCGATCGCAGAGCCGTGCGGCATGTGTCGCATAGTTCCCCCTCCGGGCTGGGATCCGCCGTTCGCGCTGGACCGCGCCAAGTTCCGCTTCCGCACCAAGGTGCAGGCGCTCCACCAGCTGCAGCGCCGCCCCGCGCCCGCCGACCCCGCCACCTTTGCGCTCGACTACCTCCGCTTCCTCGCGGATCTCCGCCTTGCGCCCCCGCCCGCGCTGCAGCGCGCACTTGCGCGCGCGGGGATGGGGGCGGGGAAAAAGGGGGTTTCGGCGGAGGACAGGGCGGTGGTGGCGGCGGAAGCCATGCGCGCGGGCGCGGTGGACATCTGCGCGCTGTTCCACGCCGTGCAGCGGCGGGGGGGGTTTGCGCGCGTGAGTGAGAGCAGGGCGTGGGGGGATGTGCTGCGGTCGGTGCTGCAGGGCGAGACGGGCGCGGGGGAAAGGGAAGGGGCGGGGAAGCGGACGAGCATGGACGCGGGGGGGCTGAAGGCGGTGTACCGGCGGTGGCGGCTGGACGAGCTGCAGGCGTGGCGAGAGGCGGGCGCGGGCAGGGCGCAGGGGGACGATGGGCGCAACGAGGCGCACGGGGAGGCGGCCGCCGATGGGAAACGAAAACGACAAGAGAAGGAGGCGGAGGGGGAAAGAGGCAGCAAGGCGCAGAAGCGGAGTGATGGTAGCGGCAGTGGGTTAAGTGCAAGCGAGGCTGGCGGCAGATCTAGCAGCCATTGGCGCGCAGCTAAGGCTGTGAGGTACCGGCAAGGGGAGGCAGGCGCGGAGGAAGGGGGAGAGGGGCAGGGGGAGGGCGATGGGGGGGAGTCAGAGGGTGCTGATGGCTCTGACTCGGACAGTGAGGACGCGGCAGCGGACGCTGTGTGTGAGAGGTGCCGAGGGGGGGGGCATGAGGAGCAGATGTTGCTGTGTGACCGCTGCGACCGTGGCTGGCACCTCTTCTGCCTCTCTCCACCGCTCTCCACCGTGCCGCTCGGCACGTGGTTCTGCCAGGACTGTGTGGCCCGCCCGCACGACACCTTTGGCTTCACGTCGGGCGGCAGCATCTCCATTGCCGCCTTGCAGCGCGCCGACCGCGCTCTGCGCGAGCGGCTCTTCGGCGCAAAGCTGGGCGGCGCGATGACGCCTGCGCAGCTGGAGGAAGCCTTTTGGCGGGTAGTGGACGGGGCGGCAGGCCCCGTGGAAACCCTCTACGGCAGCGATATCGACACCGGCGCCTGTGGCAGCGGGTTCCCCAGGAGAGGGGAACCCGTGCCAGCGCATGCGGTGCAGAGCGGTGTGAGTGAGGCGCGGTGGCGGGAGTATGCGGAGGCGCGGTGGAATGTGAACAACATGGCACGGGATGCAGCATCGGTGCTGCGGTATGTGGAGGACGCGATCCCGGGGGTGATAGTGCCGTGGCTGTACATGGGCATGACCATGTCCGCCTTCTGCTGGCACTTCGAGGACCACTGCTTCTACTCCATCAACTACCTCCACTGGTGCGCGCCCGCTTTCTCCTCTCCTCATGCCGCCTTGTTGACGCTCATCACAAATCACCGTGTGTGTGGCAGCACGACTGTCACCTCCTGCTGGTTCACTCCCGCCTTCGCTCTCTTCTGGTAACCACCCCTTCTCACCAGTTATCCCCATACCCTCCTTCCCTCCCCGGGCTCTCCCTTTGTGTCTGCTGCTTGTCGTGCCGTGTTGGGCTGCTGTTGGGGGCGGCAGGGGCGAGCCGAAGCTGTGGTATGGCGTGCCGGGGCATGCAGCAGAGGCCTTCGAGCAGGTGCGCTGCTGTGCCCTGTGTGACCTGTGTGATGTGATGTCTGCACCGTGTGATGTGTGCACCGTGTGACATGTACAGTGCATGATGGGCTTCAGTGGTTTGTCATTGCGGTGGTGGCAGAAGCGTAGGGGATGGAAGTGCATGTGCGGACAGGTGACCCATGAGCCATGAACCACCACACTCTCCTCTCTCCTTTCCTTCTCACCCTTCACTCCTCTTCTACTCATCGCCATCACCATCCCCATCCCCACCCCCATCCCCATCCCCATCCCCATCCCCATCCCCATCCCCATCCCCATCCCCATCCCCATCCCCATCCCCATCCCCATCCCCATCCCCATCCCCATCCCCGTCCCCGTCCCCGTCACCGTCACCATAACCATAACCATCACCGTCACCGTCGCCGTCACCATCACCATCCCCATTCCCGGCCCCAACACGCTCGTCCTCACGAATCCATCACACACCATATCCCTTTCGTGCCCATCCTCCCACCACCAGGTCATGCGGGCGGCCTTCCCGGACCTGTTTGAGGCGCAGCCGGACCTGCTCTTCCAGCTGGTAACCATGTTACACCCCATGGCGCTGCATCGAGCGGGAGTGCCCATCTACCGCACCGTGCAGGCCGCCCGCGAGTTCGTCGTCACCTTTCCACGCTCCTACCATGCCGGGTTCAACCAAGGTAGGTTCTCCTCCCCCCTTCCTCCCTTCCTCTTCATTTCTCCCCTCCACTTCATTCCTCCCCTCCACTTCATTTCTCCCCTCCACTTCATTTCTCCCCTCCTCTTCATTCCTCCCCTCCTCTTCATTTCTCCCCTCCTCTTCATTCCTCCCCTCCTCTTCATTTCTCCCCTCCTCTTCATTCCTCCCCTCCTCTTCATTTCTCCCCTCCTCTTCATTTCTCCCCTCCTCTTCATTCCTCCCCTCCTCTTCATTTCTCCCCTCCTCTTCATTTCTCCCCTCCACTTCATTCCTCCCCAACTGCTCGCACCACACTGGAAATGTTCAACCTTTCTTTCTCCCGGGGGGCCTGAACGCCCCTCCCCTCTCTCTGCCACCCACTGCCTTCTGTGACAGGGGTGCTATGTTGAGAAAGACGCAGCGTCCTCCGTGCGTCCTGCGTCTGGACGCTAGGACGCAGGACGCGCGTCCAGACGCAGGACGCACATCGTTTTTTTTTTCGGGCTGCCCCGAAAAAAAAAAATCCCGATCGCTGGAAATCACATTCGCGATTTCGACGCGAATGTCGAAATCGCGAAATTTCGCCCCCCCCTAGACCAATTCGACATTCAAAAACAGCCCCCCCAACATTTCATAACCCTTCATGCAAAGTTGAATTTCTCAAACCTCTCAACCACTTCACATCTAGAAAACCCAACCTTTGTGCCCACCACCAAGCCCATTTAGCAATGCAACCAAGTCATTTGTGGTTTCTCATTTTACCCACCCTCCCAATTCTCTTTCGAAAACCCTAGAGGTTTTAGCTTACTAGCTTAACTCCGTTATGGCTTCGTCAAGCAACCCTAGGTCTTCCACCGCATCTAGGGGTTTTAATGCCGAGGAGGACGACTCTCCCCCCAAGCGTTTCACTAGTGATGGTGTGGAGAAGAAACCGCAAAACCCCACTCACCGTATTTATAGGCATTTTTGGACATTCGACGATCCTAAGAAAAAGGGGAAGCAGTGCGAGTGCCTTTGGTGCGAGAAATCGTTCGCCTTTAGTAGTAGCCGGTGCACCCAGCATCTCGCCGAATGGAACGACGCGAACGTGCGGCGCGAGGCCGGGATTGTTTGCGCGAATGTTCCTAAGAGCATTTCTGACGCCATTCGCGGCCAGAAGGAGACGAAGATGACGGCGCGCAAGGATAAGGAGAGGGCTTTGGATGCGGCGCTTACTGCGGTGAGCGGCCAAGGCGGAGCGGAACCGAAGGCAAAGAAGGGGCGGATGGAGGATTGGTATGGCGAGGGGGGGAAGACGGCGAAGCGTGCGGCCGACGATTCGATTTGCCTCTTCATCGCGGGGACGCGCACGGCAGAGATTATATGCCAGCACCCCCTCTTCCTCAACATGCTGCGCGCCGTTAACGCTGCCGGACCCGGATACGTCCCCCCCAAGCGTGGCTACGTTGGAGGCGCCGGGCTGCTGGCGTGCAAGCAGCAGATTGAGAAGGGATTGGCGCCCATTACGAAGACTTGGAAGGAGACTGGCATGACGATCGCCAGCGACATGATGAGGGACAAGAGCGGCCGCGCGCAGATGAACATCGTCTGCATCAACGCCAGTGGAGCGGTTTTCCAGGAGGCGGTCGACTGCAAGGCGGAGACAAAGACTGGGGCGTTTATTGTGAGCGTCCTGCGGCCGATCATCGAGAAGGTTGGACCGGAGCACGTCGTCGCGATTTGCACGGACGGCGGCACAACTACGTGTCCGCCGCCAAGCTGCTGCAAAAGACGTACCCGCACATTGAGATTGTCCCCTGTGCCACTCATGTGCTCGACTTGCTGTTGGAGGACTTCGGCAGCATGGATTGGGCGCAGGAGGTCGTGCCAGTGGCGACCGACATGATTTCGTTCGTGCGCAGCCACACGTGGACGCGTGCCTTCCTGTGCTGTCCCGAGCTGCACGGCGAGGAGAAGTCGCTGCAGCCGCTGTGACCGGCGGGCACGCGCTTTGGGACGCAGTACATTGCGGTGTCACGTCTGCGTGAGATTCGCCCTCAGCTGACGCAGATGGTGACGCACAAGGACTGGGAGGAGAAGGGGAGGAAGCAGCAGACTGGGAGAAACTTTGAGATGTCGGTGTTGGATGTGGAGTGGTGGAAGAAGGTGGATACCTTCGTGAAGGTGATGGAGCTGCCGTACAAGGTGATGAGGAAGACGGATGGGCCGGCGAAGGGGATGATGGGGGCAATGTACGACATAATGCTGCAGCTGACGGAGGACTTGTCGGCGCTGTTGGAGAGCGCGGATTGTCAGCTCAGCGAGGAGGATAAGGAGGGGTTGCAGGAGCATTTGAGGCGGCGTTGGGACGAGAGTATGGCCTGCCCTCTTCACGTGGTAGGCCGGATTCTGAACCTGGTCAACCAGGAGGAGGGGATCTACCTCAAGGACGTTGAGTGCACCAGGGTGATGAAGGCCTGGCTGTCGCGCTCGAGGGCCTTCGTCGACAAGTACTGGAAGAAGGACGGCGAGACGACTGGAACGATGATGGCGCTGCAGGAGGGGATGCTGGCGTACATTGAGGGCAGGGGGTGCTTTGGGTCGGAGGAGGCGATAGAGGGGCGTGCGTAGCTGAAGGCAGGGAAGGGGGACATGGCGGCGTGGTGGAAGGTGAATGGCTGGGAGTACGCCGATCTGGCAGGCCTTGCGCGTCGTGCGGTGTCACAGCCCATTTCCGCTTCTCCATGCGAGCGGGGATGGGCGACGTGGGATGGGGTGCACACGGCGCGCAGGAACAGGTTGGGGTCGGAGAAGGTGCGCGACCTGGTGTTCGTGGCGCACAACTGGAAGGTTGTGCACGGCCACCACCAGGGTGCAGCTGTTGCAGGGCCAAGTGGGGAAGTCAGGAAGGCGGGGGTAGTGGAGGGGAACATTCCCACCCCTCCCCTCCCCGAGGGGTACATGTTGGAGGAGGATGGGGAGAGGGAGGTGGACGAGGACGACATGATGGTCGACGAGTACAAGGACCAGGATGTGATGGACGAAGAGGAGGAGAAGGACAGCGAGGAGGATGGGGATGAGTGACTGGTTGCCTTCATGCAGTGCAGTGGTGGTAGTTTACTAGTATGCATGTTCAGCAGTGATTGGATAAACTGTGTGTGTGACGTGACGTGACTCACCTTAATCTTGAGTTTTGGGGGGAAAATTGTTGTTGGGGCGAAATTTGCCATGAAAGTGAGGAGCGTCCCCCCCCCCCCCCCCCCCCCCCCCCCTCTTCCCATGCCCTATATCAAAATGTTTTGGCTGCCCGGGGGGTTTTTTTGCCCTGCCCGGGATTGCGTCTTTTGGTGCGTCTTTCTGGTCCTGGTGACGCGTCCTGCGTCTGGACGCATGCGTCTGGACGTGCGTTCAGACGCAGGACGCGTCTTTCGCATCATAGCAGGGGTGAACTGCGCAGAGGAGATGAGCTTTCACTGCTCAAAACAACACACACACCTCTCACCCGTCCGCTGTCCCAACCTCCAACTGCCCTCTTCCTCTCTCGCAGGGGTGAACTGTGCGGAGGCGGTGAACTTCGAATGCTTGGTGCAACACTCACACCCCTCACCCCTCACCTGTCCACCGTCCCACTCGCCGCCTCTCCCCTCGCTCGCAGGGGTGAACTGTGCGGAGGCGGTCAACTTCGCCCCGTGCGACTGGCTGCCGTGGGGGGCGCTCAGTGTGGAGCGCTACCGGCTGTTCCGCCGCAAGTCCATCCTCTCACACGAGGAGATGCTGTGTGTGCTGCTGCTGGTGAGACGAGGACTATGCTTTTCATTCTGTTTTGCTGTTGCCTTCACTCCCTCTGGTCCTCGTTTCGCCTCTCCTCTCCTCCTCTCCTCTTCTCTCCTCCATTCCTCTCCTTTTTTCTCCTCTCCTTTTTTCTCCTCTCCTGACCTCACCTCTCCTCATCTCTCCTCCCTTCCTTCTCAGCTCTCATCTCCTTTCCTTCACTCCGCGCACCTCCCCTCCGCTCCGCTCCCTCCCCCCTCCCCCCTTATCGCTGCTACCAGAACCAGCAGCGGGGGCTGCTAGCGGGGGAGAGGCGGGTGGCGGGGGCGGAGGTGCGGAGGGTGGTGGAGGGGGAGAGGCGGGCGAGGGACGTGGTGTGGGCGCAGGGCACAGTGAGGAGCGCACGCATGGCGCCCCATGCGCGCCCAGATGCCATCACAGAGGAGGAGGTACTGTTCATGGCTCCTGAGAGGTACTGTTCATGGCTCCTGAGAGGCACTGTTCATGGCTCCTGAGAGGCACTGTTCATGGCTCCTGAGAGGCACTGTTCATGGCTCCTGAGAGGCACTGTTCATGGCTCCTGAGAGGCACTGTTCATGGCTCCTGAGAGGCACTGTTCATGGCTCCTGAGAGGCACTGTTCATGGCTCCTGAGAGGCACTGTTCATGGCTCCTGAGAGGCACTGTTCATGGCTCCTGAGAGGCACTGTTCATGGCTCCTGAGAGGCACTGTTCATGGCTCCTGAGAGGCACTGTTCATGGCTCCTGAGAGGCACTGTTCATGGCTCCTGAGAGGCACTGTTCATGGCTCCTGAGAGGCACTGTTCATGGCTCCTGAGAGGCACTGTTCATGGCTCCTGAGAGGCACTGTTCATGGCTCCTGAGAGGCACTGTTCATGGCTCCTGAGAGGCACTGTTCATGGCTCCTGAGAGGCACTGTTCATGGCTCCTGAGAGGCACTGTTCATGGCTCCTGAGAGGCACTGTTCATGGCTCCTGAGAGGCACTGTTCATGGCTCCTGAGAGGCACTGTTCATGGCTCCTGAGAGGCACTGTTCATGGCTCCTGAGAGGCACTGTTCATGGCTCCTGAGAGGCACTGTTCATGGCTCCTGAGAGGCACTGTTCATGGCTCCTGAGAGGCACTGTTCATGGCTCCTGAGAGGCACTGTTCATGGCTCCTGAGAGGCACTGTTCATGGCTCCTGAGAGGCACTGTTCATGGCTCCTGAGAGGCACTGTTCATGGCTCCTGAGAGGCACTGTTCATGGCTCCTGAGAGGCACTGTTCATGGCTCCTGAGAGGCACTGTTCATGGCTCCTGAGAGGCACTGTTCATGGCTCCTGAGAGGCACTGTTCATGGCTCCTGAGAGGCACTGTTCATGGCTCCTGAGAGGCACTGTTCATGGCTCCTGAGAGGCACTGTTCATGGCTCCTGAGAGGCACTGTTCATGGCTCCTGAGAGGCACTGTTCATGGCTCCTGAGAGGCACTGTTCATGGCTCCTGAGAGGCACTGTTCATGGCTCCTGAGAGGCACTGTTCATGGCTCCTGAGAGGCACTGTTCATGGCTCCTGAGAGGCACTGTTCATGGCTCCTGAGAGGCACTGTTCATGGCTCCTGAGAGGCACTGTTCATGGCTCCTGAGAGGCACTGTTCATGGCTCCTGAGAGGCACTGTTCATGGCTCCTGAGAGGCACTGTTCATGGCTCCTGAGAGGCACTGTTCATGGCTCCTGAGAGGCACTGTTCATGGCTCCTGAGAGGCACTGTTCATGGCTCCTGAGAGGCACTGTTCATGGCTCCTGAGAGGCACTGTTCATGGCTCCTGAGAGGCACTGTTCATGGCTCCTGAGAGGCACTGTTCATGGCTCCTGAGAGGCACTGTTCATGGCTCCTGAGAGGCACTGTTCATGGCTCCTGAGAGGCACTGTTCATGGCTCCTGAGAGGCACTGTTCATGGCTCCTGAGAGGCACTGTTCATGGCTCCTGAGAGGCACTGTTCATGGCTCCTGAGAGGCACTGTTCATGGCTCCTGAGAGGCACTGTTCATGGCTCCTGAGAGGCACTGTTCATGGCTCCTGAGAGGCACTGTTCATGGCTCCTGAGAGGCACTGTTCATGGCTCCTGAGAGGCACTGTTCATGGCTCCTGAGAGGCACTGTTCATGGCTCCTGAGAGGCACTGTTCATGGCTCCTGAGAGGCACTGTTCATGGCTCTGAGAGGCACTGTTTCATGGCTCCTGAGAGGCACTGTTCATGGCTCCTGAGAGGCACTGTTCATGGCTCCTGAGAGGCACTGTTCATGGCTCCTGAGAGGCACTGTTCATGGCTCCTGAGAGGCACTGTTCATGGCTCCTGAGAGCACTGTTCATGGCTCCTGAGAGGCACTGTTCATGGCTCCTGAGAGGCACTGTTCATGGCTCCTGAGAGGCACTGTTCATGGCTCCTGAGAGGCACTGTTCATGGCTCCTGAGAGGCGCTGTTCATGGCTCCTGAGAGGCACTGTTCATGGCTCCTGAGAGGCACTGTTCATGGCTCCTGAGAGGCACTGTTCATGGCTCCTGAGAGGCACTGTTTCATGGCTCCTGAGAGGCACTGTTCATGGCTCCTGAGAGGCACTGTTCATGGCTCCTGAGAGGCGCTGTTCATGGCTCCTGAGAGGCACTGTTCATGGCTCCTGAGAGGCACTGTTCATGGCTCCTGAGAGGCACTGTTCATGGCTCCTGAGAGGCACTGTTCATGGCTCCTGAGAGGCACTGTTCATGGCTCCTGAGAGGCACTGTTCATGGCTCCTGAGAGGCACTGTTCATGGCTCCTGAGAGGCACTGTTCATGGCTCCTGAGAGGCACTGTTCATGGCTCCTGAGAGGCACTGTTCATGGCTCCTGAGAGGCACTGTTCATGGCTCCTGAGAGGCACTGTTCATGGCTCCTGAGAGGCACTGTTCATGGCTCCTGAGAGGCACTGTTCATGGCTCCTGAGAGGCACTGTTCATGGCTCCTGAGAGGCACTGTTCATGGCTCCTGAGAGGCACTGTTCATGGCTCCTGAGAGGCACTGTTCATGGCTCCTGAGAGGCACTGTTCATGGCTCCTGAGAGGCACTGTTCATGGCTCCTGAGAGGCACTGTTCATGGCTCCTGAGAGGCACTGTTCATGGCTCCTGAGAGGCACTGTTCATGGCTCCTGAGAGGCACTGTTCATGGCTCCTGAGAGGCACTGTTCATGGCTCCTGAGAGGCACTGTTCATGGCTCCTGAGAGGCACTGTTCATGGCTCCTGAGAGGCACTGTTCATGGCTCCTGAGAGGCACTGTTCATGGCTCCTGAGAGGCACTGTTCATGGCTCCTGAGAGGCACTGTTCATGGCTCCTGAGAGGCACTGTTCATGGCTCCTGAGAGGCACTGTTCATGGCTCCTGAGAGGCACTGTTCATGGCTCCTGAGAGGCACTGTTCATGGCTCCTGAGAGGCACTGTTCATGGCTCCTGAGAGGCACTGTTCATGGCTCCTGAGAGGCACTGTTCATGGCTCCTGAGAGGCACTGTTCATGGCTCCTGAGAGGCACTGTTCATGGCTCCTGAGAGGCACTGTTCATGGCTCCTGAGAGGCACTGTTCATGGCTCCTGAGAGGCACTGTTCATGGCTCCTGAGAGGCACTGTTCATGGCTCCTGAGAGGCACTGTTCATGGCTCCTGAGAGGCACTGTTCATGGCTCCTGAGAGGCACTGTTCATGGCTCCTGAGAGGCACTGTTCATGGCTCCTGAGAGGCACTGTTCATGGCTCCTGAGAGGCACTGTTCATGGCTCCTGAGAGGCACTGTTCATGGCTCCTGAGAGGCACTGTTCATGGCTCCTGAGAGGCACTGTTCATGGCTCCTGAGAGGCACTGTTCATGGCTCCTGAGAGGCACTGTTCATGGCTCCTGAGAGGCACTGTTCATGGCTCCTGAGAGGCACTGTTCATGGCTCCTGAGAGGCACTGTTCATGGCTCCTGAGAGGCACTGTTCATGGCTCCTGAGAGGCACTGTTCATGGCTCCTGAGAGGCACTGTTCATGGCTCCTGAGAGGCACTGTTCATGGCTCCTGAGAGGCACTGTTCATGGCTCCTGAGAGGCACTGTTCATGGCTCCTGAGAGGCACTGTTCATGGCTCCTGAGAGGCACTGTTCATGGCTCCTGAGAGGCACTGTTCATGGCTCCTGAGAGGCACTGTTCATGGCTCCTGAGAGGCACTGTTCATGGCTCCTGAGAGGCACTGTTCATGGCTCCTGAGAGGCACTGTTCATGGCTCCTGAGAGGCACTGTTCATGGCTCCTGAGAGGCACTGTTCATGGCTCCTGAGAGGCACTGTTCATGGCTCCTGAGAGGCACTGTTCATGGCTCCTGAGAGGCACTGTTCATGGCTCCTGAGAGGCACTGTTCATGGCTCCTGAGAGGCACTGTTCATGGCTCCTGAGAGGCACTGTTCATGGCTCCTGAGAGGCACTGTTCATGGCTCCTGAGAGGCACTGTTCATGGCTCCTGAGAGGCACTGTTCATGGCTCCTGAGAGGCACTGTTCATGGCTCCTGAGAGGCACTGTTCATGGCTCCTGAGAGGCACTGTTCATGGCTCCTGAGAGGCACTGTTCATGGCTCCTGAGAGGCACTGTTCATGGCTCCTGAGAGGCACTGTTCATGGCTCCTGAGAGGCACTGTTCATGGCTCCTGAGAGGCACTGTTCATGGCTCCTGAGAGGCACTGTTCATGGCTCCTGAGAGGCACTGTTCATGGCTCCTGAGAGGCACTGTTCATGGCTCCTGAGAGGCACTGTTCATGGCTCCTGAGAGGCACTGTTCATGGCTCCTGAGAGGCACTGTTCATGGCTCCTGAGAGGCACTGTTCATGGCTCCTGAGAGGCACTGTTCATGGCTCCTGAGAGGCACTGTTCATGGCTCCTGAGAGGCACTGTTCATGGCTCCTGAGAGGCACTGTTCATGGCTCCTGAGAGGCACTGTTCATGGCTCCTGAGAGGCACTGTTCATGGCTCCTGAGAGGCACTGTTCATGGCTCCTGAGAGGCACTGTTCATGGCTCCTGAGAGGCACTGTTCATGGCTCCTGAGAGGCACTGTTCATGGCTCCTGAGAGGCACTGTTCATGGCTCCTGAGAGGCACTGTTCATGGCTCCTGAGAGGCACTGTTCATGGCTCCTGAGAGGCACTGTTCATGGCTCCTGAGAGGCACTGTTCATGGCTCCTGAGAGGCACTGTTCATGGCTCCTGAGAGGCACTGTTCATGGCTCCTGAGAGGCACTGTTCATGGCTCCTGAGAGGCACTGTTCATGGCTCCTGAGAGGCACTGTTCATGGCTCCTGAGAGGCACTGTTCATGGCTCCTGAGAGGCACTGTTCATGGCTCCTGAGAGGCACTGTTCATGGCTCCTGAGAGGCACTGTTCATGGCTCCTGAGAGGCACTGTTCATGGCTCCTGAGAGGCACTGTTCATGGCTCCTGAGAGGCACTGTTCATGGCTCCTGAGAGGCACTGTTCATGGCTCCTGAGAGGCACTGTTCATGGCTCCTGAGAGGCACTGTTCATGGCTCCTGAGAGGCACTGTTCATGGCTCCTGAGAGGCACTGTTCATGGCTCCTGAGAGGCACTGTTCATGGCTCCTGAGAGGCACTGTTCATGGCTCCTGAGAGGCACTGTTCATGGCTCCTGAGAGGCACTGTTCATGGCTCCTGAGAGGCACTGTTCATGGCTCCTGAGAGGCACTGTTCATGGCTCCTGAGAGGCACTGTTCATGGCTCCTGAGAGGCACTGTTCATGGCTCCTGAGAGGCACTGTTCATGGCTCCTGAGAGGCACTGTTCATGGCTCCTGAGAGGCACTGTTCATGGCTCCTGAGAGGCACTGTTCATGGCTCCTGAGAGGCACTGTTCATGGCTCCTGAGAGGCACTGTTCATGGCTCCTGAGAGGCACTGTTCATGGCTCCTGAGAGGCACTGTTCATGGCTCCTGAGAGGCACTGTTCATGGCTCCTGAGAGGCACTGTTCATGGCTCCTGAGAGGCACTGTTCATGGCTCCTGAGAGGCACTGTTCATGGCTCCTGAGAGGCACTGTTCATGGCTCCTGAGAGGCACTGTTCATGGCTCCTGAGAGGCACTGTTCATGGCTCCTGAGAGGCACTGTTCATGGCTCCTGAGAGGCACTGTTCATGGCTCCTGAGAGGCACTGTTCATGGCTCCTGAGAGGCACTGTTCATGGCTCCTGAGAGGCACTGTTCATGGCTCCTGAGAGGCACTGTTCATGGCTCCTGAGAGGCACTGTTCATGGCTCCTGAGAGGCACTGTTCATGGCTCCTGAGAGGCACTGTTCATGGCTCCTGAGAGGCACTGTTCATGGCTCCTGAGAGGCACTGTTCATGGCTCCTGAGAGGCACTGTTCATGGCTCCTGAGAGGCACTGTTCATGGCTCCTGAGAGGCACTGTTCATGGCTCCTGAGAGGCACTGTTCATGGCTCCTGAGAGGCACTGTTCATGGCTCCTGAGAGGCACTGTTCATGGCTCCTGAGAGGCACTGTTCATGGCTCCTGAGAGGCACTGTTCATGGCTCCTGAGAGGCACTGTTCATGGCTCCTGAGAGGCACTGTTCATGGCTCCTGAGAGGCACTGTTCATGGCTCCTGAGAGGCACTGTTCATGGCTCCTGAGAGGCACTGTTCATGGCTCCTGAGAGGCACTGTTCATGGCTCCTGAGAGGCACTGTTCATGGCTCCTGAGAGGCACTGTTCATGGCTCCTGAGAGGCACTGTTCATGGCTCCTGAGAGGCACTGTTCATGGCTCCTGAGAGGCACTGTTCATGGCTCCTGAGAGGCACTGTTCATGGCTCCTGAGAGGCACTGTTCATGGCTCCTGAGAGGCACTGTTCATGGCTCCTGAGAGGCACTGTTCATGGCTCCTGAGAGGCACTGTTCATGGCTCCTGAGAGGCGCTGTTCATGGCTCCTGAGAGGCGCTGTTCATGGCTCCTGAGAGGCACTGTTCATGGCTCCTGAGAGGCACTGTTCATGGCTCCTGAGAGGCACTGTTCATGGCTCCTGAGAGGCACTGTTCATGGCTCCTGAGAGGCACTGTTCATGGCTCCTGAGAGGCACTGTTCATGGCTCCTGAGAGGCGCTGTTCATGGCTCCTGAGAGGCACTGTTCATGGCTCCTGAGAGGCACTGTTCATGGCTCCTGAGAGGCACTGTTCATGGCTCTGAGAGGCACTGTTCATGGCTCTGAGAGGTACTGTTCATGGCTCTGAGAGGTACTGTTCATGGCTCTGAGAGGTACTGTTCATGGCTCTGAGAGGCACTGTTCATGGCTCTGAGAGGCACTGTTCATGGCTCTGAGAGGCACTGTTCATGGCTCTGAGAGGCACTGTTCATGGCTCTGAGAGGCACTGTTCATGGCTCTGAGAGGTACTGTTCATGGCTCTGAGAGGTACTGTTCATGGCTCTGAGAGGTACTGTTCATGGCTCTGAGAGGCACTGTTCATGGCTCTGAGAGGCACTGTTCATGGCTCTGAGAGGCACTGTTCATGGCTCTGAGAGGTACTGTTCATGGCTCTGAGAGGTACTGTTCATGGCTCTGAGAGGTACTGTTCATGGCTCTGAGAGGCACTGTTCTCTGGCTTATCTGCTCCCTCTCTTGCCACACCTCCACGCCTCTCACTCTCCTCCGCCCTGTGTGCACCACGACCACCACCGTGCCCGCGGCCGTCCCCCTCACAGTGACAGCACAATCTGGATGAAGTGCCTCTTCTGCTGCTACCACTGCCTCTTCTGCTGCTACCACTGCCTCTTCTGCTGCTACCACTGCCTCTTCTGCTGCTACCACTGCCTCTTCTGCTGCTACCACTGCCTCTTCTGCTGCTACCACTGCCTCTTCTGCTGCTACCACTGCCTCTTCTGCTGCTACCATTGCCTCTTCTGCTGCTACCACTGCCTCTTCTGCTGCTACCACTGCCTCTTCTGCTGCTACCACTGCCTCTTCTGCTGCTACCACTGCCTCTTCCTGAGAGGCAGAGAGGCCTGCCCATGCCATTTGAGAGGCGCTGCTCTCCGCTCTTTCTGCTTCCTCTCTTGCCCCATCCCCCTGCCTCTCGTCCTCCTCCTCCCTGCTGTGTGCGGAATACCCCCCCCCACCCTCTCAGCAGGATCGGGAGTGCCTCATCTGCCGCTACTACCTCTTCCTCTCAGCTGTCGTCTGCCCCTGCCGCCCTCGAGATGCCGTGTGCCTGCAGGTGAGTTATCTCTCATGCCGTGTGCCTTCAGGTATGTGATGTGATGCCACTGTGTTTCCTGTGCCGCGTTGTGCCTGCACTACCACATTCCATGGTGGTTCACCCGGCCTGCAAGGGTCGCTTCTCATCAGATCTCTAAAGGGTTGCCTTGCCGCCCGCCCTACCATCCCCCACCGCTCATGCATGTGCTCTCCTCTCACAGGCCCTTCTCTCACAGGCCCTTCTCCTCTCACAGGCTCTTCTCCTCTCACATCCCCTCCCCCACCCCCTGTCCCCTTCTCCCCCTCGCCCCTCCCCCATGCCAGCACGCGTGCCAGCTGTGCGACTGCCCGCCTGCCCGCCGCACGCTGCTGTACCGCCTCTCCCTCGCCCAGCTTGAAGACCTGCTGGCGGGGGGGAACAAGGGGGGGGGTGGCAAGGGGGGGAGCGCGAGTAGTGGAGAGGGGCGGAGCGAGGGGCAGGAGGGGAGTGGAGGGGAGGGGGGTGTGAAGGATGGGCGGGGGAAAGCGGCTGTTGAGGAGGAGGTGGTGGTGAAGGGCGAGTGCAGCAGGGCAGCAGCGGGTGGCAGCAGCAGCAGCACTGGCAGACAAGCAGGGGGACATGTGAGCGGGCATGTGGGTGGGCTCACAGGCGGGCATGCTAGCAGCAGCGCCCCGCGTGCGCCCATCACGTACTCTCGCCGTGCCAGCACTTCTGCTGTGGGCAGCCCGCCCGTGTGCGGACTCACCAGCATTGGCGTGAAGGTGCTCGCAGGGGGGTATGGTGGGGGGAGGGCGGCGAGCAGGGAAGGGGAGGGCGGTGGAGGGGGGGGAGGGGGTGGGGGTGAGAGTTGCACGCGAAGCAAGGGCGGTGCTGGTGGCGAGACGAATGGCGATGGTGGTAAAGCTGATAATGGTGCTGCAGGGCGTGACAGTGACACTCGTGCTCACCCTGCTGCGGAGAGGCCAGCCTGTGACAGCCGGGCATCTGCCGACGTGGACCAATTAGCACAGCCTTCATCCAGTGAGGCGGGGATGCGTGAGGGGCGCGTGGCGGGGGGCGTTGGGGGGCACGTTGGTGTCACTGTGAAGCAAGAAGGGGTGGAGGGTGGGAGCTTTAGTGATGCTGCGGTGGAGTCAGCAAGTAAGGGAGCAGTGGGGGAGGCGGTGAGCAAGGAAGAGAAAGGGCAATCCGGAGAAAGGGAAGGAATGGGAGGAGAGGGAGTCGGAGAAGGAAGAGGAGAAGCAGGGCAGTGCGAGGGAGAGAGCAGTGGTGTGAGACGAAGCAGCCGACGGGCCGCTGCTGCTGCGGCTGCCGCTGCTGCTGCAGCAGAAACGGTAGAGAGAGACGATGGGGAGAGCGTGAAGGAGGAGCAGAGCAGCTATGCTGCTGTCACAGGAAGAGTGGGAGGGAGCGAGAAGAGGCAGGCAGGGAAAGGAGCATCTGAGGGGCTTGGGAGTGCAGAGGCGGAGATGGCGGAGTGGATGCGGGGCAGGGCTACAGGGGGAAGCGGGGGAGGGGGGCACGGGGGACAGATGGTGCAGGCGGAGGAGTTCCTGGACAGGTGTCGGGCGGGCAGTGGTGGTGGGTGGGTGGCGCAGCAGCGGCGGGTGCGGGGGCGCATGATGACGCACGGCGAGTGGGCGGCGCAGTGGGCGTCACGGGGCAAGGTGGCGCTGCGCTCGCCGCCCACAGTGGAGGCAGCGGTGGCGGTGGTGCAGCAGGCGCAGGAGTTCCTGTGGGCGGGCCACGAGGTCGATGCCGTGAGTGCATCTGTGCTGCCACTTCCCTCACTGGCCTGCTCTGCTGCGCCTCTCCACCATGACACATTCCTTTCCCATCCATGCCCTCCCCACTGCTTCCCTGCACTCCCGCTCATTGTGCCCGCTTCCCCTCTCACCGTTCCCCGCTCTCCTCTTCCCCCTAACCCTTCTCATCCAGGTCGCCACCTCAACCCCCAACCCCCTCTCCTCCCCCCCCCCCCCCGTCCCGTCCCCAGGCGAGGCGAGTGCACGACAAGGCACTGGCAGCGCTCACATGGGCGCACGAGGTGGCCGCGTGCTGCGGCCAAACGCTGCCCGCTGCTGCTGCCGCGCCACCTCTCGTTGCCTGCTCCTCCAACCACCCGCTGCTGTCGCTGCCGCCCTCCTCTTCACCCGCTGCTGCCGGGCCAAGCCACGCAGCACGAGGGGCGGGCAGCAGCGGCAGTGGCGGGGGCGGGAGGAGGAGGGGGCTGTGTGAGGTGCAGAGGCTGCTGGAGGCGGCTGCCTCGGACGTGCCCTGCATTGAGCCGCACTATAAGACGGTCAAGGTGTGTGCATGGGTGCTGAGGAGTGGCGCTGCCAGGTGGGCACAATGGCGTGCATGGTCTGGTCTGGCAGGCAAGTGGTGGAAAGTGCGATGGTGTGACGGATCCAGCGAAAGACAGTGCTGTGCAAGCATTGCATCGTCGTTACTTCCATCTCCTCCCCCTCTTCTCCCTCATGTCACACCTCTCCGCCCTGCCCCCCACCCCCTCCCCCACCCCCACCCCCACCCCACCCCACCGCAGGTGCTGTACCGCGATGCCCTCGCCCTGGACCAGCGCATTCGCCTCGCCCTGCACGCCAAGCCGCCTCTTGAGGTGCGCCTCCTTGTGGTGGACTGGATTTCACGCACGGGTGCTGAAACGCTCCCCTCTTAAATTCTTACCTTGCTTGTTTTCAAGTCGACTTAACAACGTGCGCCTCCCTGGTGTGAAATGGATTTCATGGGTTCCCCTCTTACTTTCTTTCCTTGCTCACTGCTCCAACTGCTCTGGCTTGTCCCGCTATGCCCCTCAGATCAGATCATTGTGTCTGCTGCATAATCTGATTGCACAGTCGTCTTACCATCCATGCAAACCGCATGCTTGCACCTGGCCTGGCTGCATGCATCACACCCCCCCATCAGGCGAGGGAGCTACAGTCACTGCAAGCAGAGGCGGCAGCAGGCACGGTGGACATCCCTGCTGCCGCCAAACTCAAAGACGCTCTCCTCGCCGCCCAGGTGCGTCTCCAACACTCCCAAATGCAGCACGAGGCGAGTTGCACTAGGTACTTGCATCGAACCCTCCATGATGGGGACTTGCGCACCCCACTGATGAGTGAGTGCTGTTCATCACTGATTCTGCATTCCAGCTCCTCGAGATGTGCCCGCTTTATTTGCGTCTTCTTCCCCTTGAAACAATAATCAGGGTAGCTGATGGGCGCGTGGAGGGGGGCGTTGATGCGCACACCACATAGCTTGGTCGCCCCGGCGTGGTAACTGATGACAGACCTCCGCCTCTATCTTTGCCCGCTCTTCCCCCCTCCGCTGCTCTCTCCCGCCCCGCTGTTCCCCCCCGTCCCATGCGCCCATCCTATCAGCACTGGGTGGAGGCGGTGCAGAGAATGGTGCCGCAGGGGAAGGCACCTCGAGCAGCGGCACACATCCCGCTGCCCGACCTGCACTCCCTCGCCATGCTGCACTCGCAGGTGCTGCCTTGCCCATCGCTCCTGCTCGCCACACTTCTGTTTCTGTGCCATTGCATCTTTCCTTGCCTCCTCCGCACCTCATGTCCCCTATTCCCATTGAAACACTACTCCACCCGTCTTCCTCCGTGTCCTCACTCCCCTCCCTCAGGGCGAGCGCCTGAGGGTGAGGGTGGCGGAGCACGAGGTGGTGGCATCATTGCTGCTGCCCGCCAGGCACATGGACTCACGCGCCCACGCTCTGCTGCACTCCTCGCCCACCCTTCAGGTGCTGCCACCCTCAGCAGCCTGCTACCTCCCCTCTCACCCTGCCAATCCCACCCTCTCCTCGCCGCACTCTTATTCTCGCATCCTTTCCTGTTTTCCCGCCTTGCGTGCCTTTTGTACCACTCCGCTTCTCCTTACATCTCTCCCGCTCGCCTCATTGCCCAAACCTCCTCCCCCCTTCCTCGCCTCCCTCCCTATGTCTCATCCCCCATTCTCACCCTGCGCCCCCCCCTGCGTCTCCAATCCCCGTCTCCCCATCCTTCCCCTCTCAGGACATGGACGGGTTGCTGCAGGAGGCGAGGGGCGTGGCGGTGCGCCTGCCAGCGGTGGCGCAGCTGCAGGCCCGGCGGGACGAGGCACGGCGCTGGGGAGAGAGGGCTCGCGCGCTGCTGGCTGTGATGGGGGGCAAGGATGGGGGGAGGGGCAAGCACGCACACAAGCAGGGGAAAAAAGAATGGCAGGGGCAAGAGGAGGGGCAGGGGCATGCAGGAGCAGCGAGTGTGGCAAGCAGCAAGTGTGGCCCGGGCAGCCCTCCCCCCTCCAGCCTGTCTCCCCCTTCTGCTCCTCCCACCACACCTGCTCCTGCCACCCCCCTGCCTGTCGCCCGCACCACCACTGCTGCTGCTGCCTCTCCAGTAACCCCTCCTCCCACCGCTGCTGCCCGCACTCCCTCTTCGGACCACCCTGCATCCATCCCCACTCCGTCTGCCACAGCCCCTGCTGCGCTCACAGCTTCTGCCACTGCCGCCACCCCTCGTGCTGCCCCTTGCCCTGCCGCTGTCCAACCTACTCTGCTTCTCCCGTCGCCTTCCACCGCGGTCCCACTTGCCACTGTCACACCCGACACTTTCACACCCGCCACTGTCACACCCGCCACTGTCACACCCGCCACTGTCACACCCGCCACTGTCACACCCGCCACTGTCATACCCGCGTCAGGCAGGCAGAGGGGGTGGAAGGAGGAGCTGGTAGCACTGGTGGAGGCGGGCACGCGCATGCACGTCACTCGTGAGTGGGGTGGATGGTGGAAGGGTGGGTGAATGCTGTGGAGAGCGACTGTGAGCATCATCAGCAGCATTATCACTTTTTTTGTGAACAACAAAAGCGTGGTCACCATTCCCCTCCTCACCCCTCGCTCCTCCCTTTCCCCACACACCCCTCTCCCTCCACCCCGTGCATGGTGGCAGTGGGCGAGATGGAGCAGGTGCAGCAGCAGCTGCAGCGAGTGCAGTGGGAGGACGCGGCAGAGGGGGCGCTCATGCGCCGCGCATCAGTGGACGAACTGCTGGCGCTGCAAGCTCAGGGCGAGAGGTGAGTGGCGCTGCAAGCTCAGGGCGAGAGGTGAGCGTGTGGGAGAGCGAGGAGAGTGGGAGTAAGAGGTTAGGCAACAGCAGGAGAGTGAGGGAGGAAGAGGTGAGAGAGGGGGAGGTGTGTAAAAGGAGAGGTGGGAGCGGGGGAAGAACCCGTGCCACACAGGGCGTGGGATTTCCGTTTCAGCGAATTCTCGTTCCCCTCTCTCTGGTCTGCCTGCTAATGGCCCTCAGTAGCCCTGCCATGCCATGCCATGCCATGTCATGCATACACTCTACCAGCTGCCCCCGCCATGCATCATACTCCCTCCTGCCTCTCCCACCCGTCCCACTTGCCCCACCCCTGCACTCCTCCCGCCTCCTGCACTCACTACACCCACAGGCTGCCCACGGGCAGTGCAGTGGTGGCGCGCGTGCACGCGGTGGTGGCGGCAGGCAGCGACTGGCAAGCCAGGGCGCAGAGGGCGCTGCAGGAGGGGTGTAGCCTGGAGGAGGGCGAGGCGATGGGCAGGTGAGAGAGGGGGGGGGAGGCGAGGGTGTTTGACGTTCGTGGGGCAGATGAGAGGGGCCGTTGTGATAAGAGGTATTGATGCAGTGCTGCAGTGAAGTGCATTTCAGTCCACATCCATGCCATCATGTCCATCTTGCATTTTTACGAGTGAGCTACGCACACTCTGTCCTTCCCATCCCCCCTCTCCACCAATGCCCTCCAACCTCGGTCACCTTTTGTGCGACCCGCCTCCTCTCCTCTCGCGTCCACCAGGGAGGCGGAGTCCATCCCAGCATCGCTGCCAGGCCATGCACAGCTCATGTCAGCGCTGGCGTCAGCAAGGGAAGCAGCAGGTTGGGCCGACCAGCTGCTTCTGACTGTGCGCCGCGCTGCTGCCACTGCTGCTGCGGGTGCTGGTGTGGGTGCTGGTGCTGGTGCTGGTGCTGGTGTTGCCACCCCTTGTGGGGGGAAGGAGAGAGGCAGTGGAGGGAGGTGGAAGCGGAGGAGGAGGGGGCGAGGGGAGGGCGAGGGAGGGGGGGTGCAGGAGGGCGCGGATGCTCGTGTGACAGTGGGGGAGATCATGGTATGTGGGTAGCGTGGGGCAGCATTATGGGGCAGTATGGTGGGGGAGGGAGGGTGGTAAGGCAGAGTGGTGAAGCAGCGTGGTGGGCTAGGAGGGTGGTGGGACAATCCGTTGAGTTGAGGCGTGTGCATCCTCCTCAAGAAATCTTCCGCCTGCTGCCCTGTGCACACTGCACTGCACTGCATGGCGCCATGCTCCTACGTTTGGTCCTATGACAAGTGCAACCTGTACTCACTCTAGTCCGCCTCGTCTAACCCTCCCCCTCCTCTTTCTCCCTCCCTTTTCTTCCCCGTCTCTGCCTCTCTCCACCCAGCTAATTCCTTCTCCTCACGTCCCTCTCCTCTCCTCCTCTCCTTTCCCCGTCCCTCCTCCCTGCCTCCCCCTACCCCAATCACACCAGGCCATGCACGCGGCCCTCACAGCACTGCCTGTGCGTCCACCGCAGGCAGCACAGCTCGCCGCGCTGCTCTCCTCGCTCACCTCCTGGCGATTCGCTGCCTCCCACGCCCTCCACACTGCCGTCTGCTTGCTCTCACCGCCCACCACTGACACACCGCCCACAGTAACCACAGCACCACCCACCCAAGCCAGCCCAGCTGCAGTGCCCATCACCCCCAAATCAGGCACCATCCTGGTTGACTCAAGTTCCCCTCCGGTCGCATCAGCAGCACCATCGCCTGCAGGCAAGCCCCCTCCGGTACAAGTAGCGATGTCATCATCATCATCATCATCATCATCAGTTGCAGGCAGTGCAGGCGAGGCCCCTTGGGTAGTGCCGGCAGCAGCAGCCAGCGCCAGCGTGGGCGAGCTGTCCTCGCTGCTCACGCAAGGAGCGGCGCTGGGCGTGGCGGTGCCGCAGCTGCCGGCTGTGCGCGCGCTGCTGCAGCGCCTGCACTGGGAGGTCGCCGCCCATGCCCTGCTGTCTGCCACAGCTGATGATGCGGTGCAGAGTGGTGGTGTGGCGCAGGACAGTGCGGTGCAGTGTGGTGGTGAGAGGCGAGGCAAGCCCAGCATGGAGGAGGTGGAGGCACTGGTGGCGGCTTACCCACTCACTCATGCGCCCGCCCACCCTCCACCCCACCCAGCACGATCAGCAGCACCACCACCATCAGCAGCTCCATCCGAGGGCCTTGCTCAGCCTGCTGCATCCGCTCCCTCTCAGCCCCCCTCAGCGCGCCTCTCCCTGCTGCACTCCGCTCTGGCAGACGCACGGCAGTGGGTGCAGGCGGCCAATGAGATGCTGACACGTGGCCCTGCCAGCTGTGAGGTGCAGGAGGTGGAGGTGATGGTGGCACGTGGCATGGTGAGAGATGAAGGGAGGGGAGTGGGGTAAGAAGAGGCGAGGGGATGTTGGGTTGGGCGCTAGGGTGAATGGGTGTTATGTGCATGCGCTCTATCTGTAGTACTCTGGATTGTTTGCTTCGAGTACAGCGCCCTTGTACCATCTATTAATGTGAACTAGCCACAGCTCGAGGCACCTCTGCTGCACCTGTTGTAGCGACTGGTGCCCCCACCTGTGTGCCCTCCCGTCTCTTGCCTCTCTTTGCCCCCCATGCCCCTCCACGCCATGCTATTGGTGCAGGCCCTGCAGGTGTGTGTGCGCGACAAGTGCCGCCAGCTCAGCACCGTCATCGCCTCCCACAGGTCAGCGCCTGCACCTCTCCCACGCACGTCTCTTGTCGTGGTGCAATGCTGGGGTTTAGGGCGTGGCCACCACTGTTTCCTCCTGTGCCCTCAACCCCTGTGCTGCTTCCCTCTGATGCGCGCACCGTTGTGCCTTCCACTACTCATGCACGCACCCCCTTGTGCCCGCCTCCTTTCACGCATGTGCCCCTACCAGGGAGTGGGTCAGCGAGGTGCATCAACTGCTCGCCTCACGCCTCGCTGCGCCCACCGCACCGCCGCCGTTGCTGCCCCGTGCACCTGTCACCACGCTTGCGCACGTCAAGGCCCTGCAGGTGACACACAACAACCATTCCTTTCACCCTTCTCCAAACAAGCATGAGCCGTCATGGCACAACAGCCGTGTGCTTGCATTCATACCCCTTTCTCTCTCCCTCATCCATCTCCCTTATTTCAACCCTTCATCAACACTCCCTCAATCAAGGTTCAAAATTACGACCGAATTATTGATTTTTTACCGTATAATACGGAATCGTATTATACGACCGTAAAAAACGGTTTAAAACGGTGGATGTGTGTTTTTATTGTTTGGTTCAAAAAAACGGTCGTATTTTACGACCGAAATTTTGAATTCGGGTCTGTGTGTATCGAAGTCTCAAATTTCCCACCCCTGTTTCTCCCGAAGTCAAATTTCTCGCACACCCGTACAGACGAAAGTGACGTTTTGCCGAGTCGCGAATGTCACGACTTTCTCGAGTCGCGACATTTGGGCATTTGGCGAAGGCGAATGTTGAGTTTACCTGTTTCGCCAACTCGTTGGCATTACTCGCCGAAGCGCAAAGTGTACAAATAACCTTGGCGCGACATTTCAACATTTGGCGAACGGTAAACACAGGTTTACCCGTTTCGCTTTGCCCGTTTAGGATTTTCGCGCACCGCATTTCTTTTTCGCTGGCAATCGCGACACACCCAACCGACGCGATGCGAAACCAACCCAACCAATCAACTTACCCCTCGTGATCTCAACCGTTTTCCACAACCCACTCGACACAGCAGGCCCAGACTTCACAACGAGGTACTCAACTCACCCTTCACTCACCCCAACCGCCGCTCTCTCTTGTTTGAAGAAAAAAAGCATCAAAACAAGTCTATCAAAAATACGCCGTATTTTTTGAAAATTTACCGTATAAAACGACCGTATTATACGGACCGTATAATACGATTACCGTAGTTTTGATCCTTGCCCTCAATCATTACACCCGCTCTTTGTCTCCCCCTGTGGCCCTCCTACTCTTATTCCAGGCACGTGGCAGCAGCAGTGTGGTGGCGAGTAGGGAGGCCCAGCAGGTGCAGCGGGCAGTGGCAGCACTGGACTCGTGGCTCGCTGCCTGCTGTGCTGCCCTGCAGGGGGGCACTGGGGGAGGCGAGGGGGCGAGAGGGGGAGGCGAGGGGGCACAAGGGGAGGGAAGAAAGGCACAAGCGGAGATCAAGGGGCCACAGGGGGAGGGCAAGGGGCGGGTGTGTGAGGAGGAGGTGGTGCAGAAGCTGAAGCACATGCACAGCAACGTGCAGGCTGCCCTGCATCGCATCTCCTCCCTGGCCCGCCGCACCGCTGCCCTCTCACACCTCACGGCGCTGCCAACACAGCCGGCTCAACTGCCAGCCAACGCTCCTCCCACAGCAGTGCTGGCAGGGGGCAGCGCAGAGGGCGCTGCGGCAGATGCCGTGGTTGGCGCCGCATCACCACTGGCCACAGGACGAGCTCATGCAGCGACACCAGCTGTGGCAGCGGCAGTAGCAGCAGCAGGGCGAGGGACAGCAGGGGCGTCAGAGTCTCCTGGAACACCAGCACCTGTTGTTGCTGCTGTGGGCGCTGCTGAAAGCGTCTCCTCATGTGACGCCGTGTGCTGGTGTGCGCTGCTGCATGCTGCCCAGCCTGCTTCTGCCGCTTCTGCTGGTCGCTCTGGCGGCAGGGACGGGCAGGCGGTGGTGGGCGGGCAGGGGGAAGGACGCAGTGGGGAGGTGCGAGTTCGTGGAAAGCGCAGCGGTGGGAGGAGAGCCGCTGCTGTTGTGTGCGGTGCTGTGGGGCGGGAGAGTAGTGCAGGTGGCGTGGGGATGTCAGGGGAGAAGGGAGGAGAAGCAAGATGCGAGAGGGAAAGGGATACAGGAGCAGTGTGCTTGGAGAAGGGCGAAGAAAAGGAGGAGGAGCTGAAGCTGGGGAATGGATATGAAATGAAGGCCGGACGCATGAAGGATTCACTCACATGCGAGGGATGCAGCATGAGGTATGGGCAGCATGGGGTATGTGCAGCATGGGGTATGTGCAGCATGGGGTATGTGCAGCATGGGGTATGTGCAGCATGGGGTATGTGCAGCATGAGGTATGTGCAGCATGGGGTATGGGCAGCATGAGGTATGGGCAGCGTGAGGTATGGGCAGCGTGAGGTATGGGCAGCGTGAGGTATGGGCAGCGTGAGGTATGGGCAGCGTGAGGTATGGGCAGCGTGAGGTATGGGCAGCGTGAGGTATGGGCAGCGTGAGGTATGGGCAGCGTGAGGTATGGGCAGCGTGAGGTATGGGCAGCGTGAGGTATGGGCAGCGTGAGGTATGGGCAGCGTGAGGTATGGGCAGCGTGAGGTATGGGCAGCGTGAGGTATGGGCAGCGTGAGGTATGGGCAGCGTGATGTATGGGCAGCGTGAGAGAGAGTGCATCTCATCCTAAAGCGTACTCCCCCCATCCGTGCTCCACTGCTGCCACCCGACACGTCACCTCTTTCACCACACCCACACACACCACCACCTTCACCGCATATTTCCTTCCTTCCCTTTATTGCGAGCCCGCTGCACGTCCCATTTCCTCCATCGCATCACGTGTGCCTTCCCTCCTGCCTGCCTCACGCTGCACCCCCACAGATTCCATGCTGACTGTCTCGCATACTTGCATGCTGCCACCTCCTCCGCCTCTCAAGACCAGCATCAGCAGGCGCGGCAGCAGGAGAAGCTGCAAGAGCAGAAGCAAGAGGCAGCAGGGCAGCAGCAGGCAAGGGCAGAGCAGAGTGGCGGGGCGGGTGGGGGGGCAGCTCCACCAGGTGCAGACAGAGCCAGCCACCCACAGCCACGGCAGGGGCAACAGCACGACCACAGCCCTGAGCAACAGCAGGTGTTTCCGCAGCAGCGACCGCAACAGCAGGGCCCCTTCAAATGCCCCTTCTGCTCGTCCCTCGCGTCAGCAGCCGTCACACCTGCCGTCTTGGCGTTGTTCCATGTACGTCCCTCCGCCCCATTGCTCCTGCTTGATGCCACAGCAGCACGATTGCAAGTCACTTTACAGATTCGTCACCATGCCAACTCGTTCTACTCGCTCCGCTCCCTGCTGCTCCCTGCCCGCTCCCACTCACCCACCCCCCGCTCCCCTCCTGCCGTGCAGCCTCGTCACCTGCCCCGCGTGTCGCTGCGGTGCTTGGAGGACCTCCTCTCACGCGCTCTCTCTCTCCACCCCAGGTACCGCTCTCTCTCTCCACCCCAGGTACCGCTCTCTCTCTCCACCCCAGGTACCGCTCTCTCTCTCCACCCCAGGTACCGCTCTCTCTCTCCACCCCAGGTACCGCACTTGCTCATGCACACGTGTACACATGCGCACATTCTTGCACGATCTTGGCCACAACAACGAGCACATTCTTGCACGATCTTGGCCACAACAACGAGCACATTCTTGCACGATCTTGGCCACAACAACGAGCACATTCTTGCACGATCTTGGCCACAACAACGAGCACATTCTTGCACGATCTTGGCCACAACAACGAGCACATTCTTGCACGATCTTGGCCACAACAACGAGCACATTCTTGCACGATCTTGGCCACAACAACGAGCACATTCTTGCACGATCTTGGCCACAACAACGAGCACATTCTTGCACGATCTTGGCCACAACAACGAGCACATTCTTGCACGATCTTGGCCACAACAACGAGCACATTCTCACACCTGGCAGGCACGTCACCCCACATAGGGGCATCCATGTGCCTCCGCCACCACACACGCACTGCACAACAAGCTGCCATGCACACACTCTCTCACCCTAGATGAACCCAGCTCTATCTCCCCTCACGCCAGGGTGCACATTCCAACCACCCTCCCTCTCACATCGGCTGACATGTCCTTAACTATGCCCTCGCTTGCTCGCCCCCATCAGGATTGCAGCCGTGCACAGCTTGGAGCAGCTCGTCCAATCAGCAACGCGTTGCTGTCACCTGCTGACATCAGCACTCTCCACCACGCTGTCTTTGCCACGTCATGCCGAACCCCTGCCTCCCTCCATACTGAGCTGTCTGCTTCAGGTGAATTTCCAGCATTGTTTTCAGCTGATTATTCACCCCTCGTCTCAGATAGATTTCATTCGTGTGCTTCAAGCAGGCTTTGATCTCCTGGCGCTCACCAAAGTGTTGTTATCATCTAGTCATGAGACCTACTTACCTCCTCTCACACTTGCCCTCGCCATGCCCGCTCATCCCGCCCCTGCTGCACACGCTCACCTCTCGTCCTCCCTCCCACCTGCAGGTGGCCTCTTGTCTTCCGCTCCACATGCCCCTTGCCCCTCTGCCATCGCTCTCCTCCACCGCCCCTGCTGCCACACCAGCGGCACCACTTCCAATTGCAAAGCAGGCAGCAGAGCCTCTTGCCTCGTGGCTGCTGCACGTGAATGCAGTTCTCTCACCGCCCATACGCATGCAGCAGCAGCAGCAGCAGCATCTGGTGCAAGGGGGCCACACGAAGCAGGTCACTGGTACTGCTGCTGCTGCCCCGGCAGTGACTGTTGGAGTAGCGGCAGGAGGGCAGGAGAAGGTGCAGCGGTGGGCAGGGCAGAGCGGCAAGGATGGTGGAGAAGGGGCGGCAGTGCCCACAGCGGCAGTGGCAGTGGCGGCAGCGCCAGCAGTGGTGGCGGTGGCCGGGGTGGGCTGCTCAGTTGAGGCGGGCGGCACGCTGGCGGCGGTGCAGAGGGCAGTGGCCGCCCACTGCTGGAGGGCTGCCACATGTAGCACTCTCATTGGCCGCCCACGACCCCGACCATCCACCCTGGCACAGCTGGTGCAGACGGTGAGATGTTTGCTTCGCTTAAGTCGACACGATAAACCGGGCAGCCTTTTGTGTCTCAGACCCCACTTGTCTCATCCTTCCTTTGCTCTCTTCTCTCCAACATATTCTTTGTGTGTGTGCTGACAGCCGTCTTCCGTCACCTTCCTTCATCTCTCATGCTGACCCCTCCGCTCTTCCCGGCCTCCAGGGTTCGCACGCAGTGGGCGCAGCTGATGCCGTTCTCGGGGAAGCCAAACAGCGACACGTGGCAGCTTCTGAGTGGCTGTCTCGCTTTGCCAAGGCACACTCATCTCAGTCACAGGCATCAGAGCGCCAGTCCGCCCAGCGTCTGTCACATCTGCGGGCGCTCATCAGCCAGGCCGCTGCCCTGCCTGTGGACCTGCGCCCAGAGATCAAGGTGAGCACTGACCCACTGTTGCTCACCCACTCATGCTGCTGACCTGCACTGTGTGCCGCCCCCATCAGCACTATACATGAGCAACGGGCGAACTCGAACGTGTTTGGGTCAAACACTTTCAAACACTTCTCCAACTCGAACCCAACGTGTTTGGTTCGAGTCGAACACTTTTTCCAGAAAGTGGTGTTCGACGTTCGTCCATGGGGGCGAACAGTTTACTGTTCGGCCCGAACACGAACGTGTTTGGTTCGAGGAGTCCCCCACTTCCACAGCCCCTCCCCTCTCCCTCCTCAGCCCCCCAACTCCCCTCCTCAGCCCCTCCCTTTTCCCTCCTCAGCCCCCTCCAGGTGGTGCTTCGCGAGCCCCTCCCCCTGCAGTGCCCTTGCACTTCAATCTCGACCTGGGACTTGGACTCCAACACTCCAACATGTTCGCCCCGAACACTTGGATGTTTGGCCGAACATTTTTAGCCAAAAAAAGCAAACTGTTCGGTTCGACTCGAAGAGTTGGCCCTTTTGCTCATGTCTCGTTGGCACCCATATTTTCTCGCTCGTGCTCTTGACCTTCTTTCTCTTTCCGCTTCCCTCCTCTCTGCTGCTTATTTTCATTTTCAACCCACCCAACCATCACCATACCCATCACCACCTTGTCACCCATCACCACCTTGTCACCCATCACCACCTTGTCACTATCCAGTTCTTCTGTTTCCTTCCTCATCATCCCTTCCCTTCCCTACCCTCCTCTTTCCCCCACCCCTCGCCACGATAAGAGCCTGCGCCGCGCAGTGGCCCGTCTCGCATCGCGCATCAGGGCCGACGCACCCACAACTGAATCGCCTCCTCCGGCCGCACCTGCTCCTGCTCGGCCCACTGCGTCACTGCCCAGCGGAGCCGCATCCGCAGCAACCGCTTCCGCTGTAGCCAAGGCTGTAGCGCCGCCATGCAGAGCAGCTTTGGCAGCAAGTGGGGCAACCGTCACAGCAGGTGCTGCCTGCGAGCTGAAGGCGTTCGGGACGAAGGCTTCTCGCAGTGCCAAGCGGAAGCTGGCAGCAGCCGGGGAAGGCAAGGCGGTGACCGCGGGTAAGGGGAGAGCAGGAGCAGTGGCTGTTGGGTATGCAGCCGCAGCGCAAGCAGCGAGTGTGGGTGTCGCTCCCAGTGCTGCATGCGCTGCCACATGGGGTGTGGCAGCCAGCAGCACCGTCCCTGCTGCCACGGGTGCCTCTTCTGCCAGTGCTGCCATGGCTGCAACAGGCACCAAAGGCAAGAGAAGCCCCCGTGCACTGCATGCACCCGCCCTACAAGCACCCATGCCCGCCACTGCTGCAGCAAGCCCCCCTGCCTCGGCAGTAACATGCCAACCCGCCCCCACCTCCTGCACCCCTTTACCGCATCTGCCTTCCTACTCCTCCCATGCTGAACCCACTGCTGCAGCCCGCATGCCCTCTCGCCCCCACTCCCCTCCTCTCCCCGCCCCCCGTGCCACCTCCCCTGCTGCTGCTCCTCTGCCTGCACTCCTGGCATCGCCAGCTGCCTGCCTGACCGCCCCAGGGAATGAGGGAGGGGCAGGCGTGAGAGTGAGTGGGAAGAGGAGCAGGTCCGTGAGGAAGAGGAGGAGAGAAGGAGGGGAGGGGAATGGTGAAAGGGACAGTGAGGTGAGAGCGGGGGAGAGCAGCGAGGGCGATGGCGACGGGGATGGCGGTGGTGGCAGTGGGAGGAGCTCTGGTGGGCTGCAGGACAGCGAGGCAGCAGCAGCACATGCTGTTGCGGTGGCATCAGCTGAGGTAGCCACAGCAGCAGCGAGCAGAGCAGGAAGCAGTGGAGCAAGCACAGGTGGAGGTGTACCAAGAGCCACAGGGAGCATGCGAGCAACAGCAGCAACGCGTCAAGATGATGCAGTGGCAAGCCGTGGAGACGCATCGCAGGCATCACAGGTGTCTTGCCTTGCCAATGCACGCACCACCACAGGTGCCACCACAGTTGCCACCACAGTTGCCACCACAGGTGCGACCACCAGTACCACTGCAGTCCACGTGTCCAACCCGTCAGTGTTGTCCCATGACCAACCCGCGCTCTCCCTGAAGCAGCCCTCCCTCTCCTTCCCCGTGCTCAAGAAGCGGCGCAGCGACCGACCCAAGCCAGCTGCTCTCATCGGGGCCGACCCACCTGCTGCTGCCGCCGCCACACACCCCCCTGCTCCTCCCAATGCACCTGCTGCTTACGCTCTTGGCTCCACTGCTGCAGCTGCAGCTGCTGCTGCTGCTGCCACAGCAGCTGGCACTGCTGCCTGCTCCGGTGGCACCGCTGTTCCCTCTACAGCTGTGTCTGGCAGCTTGGCAACCAAGGTTGCCAGCTCAGCTCGCAAGGCTGGCTGCTCAAAAGGAAAGGAGGGTAAGAAGGAGAGAAGGAAAGGCACAGAGGATAGCCAAGGTAAAGGCAGTCGAGAGAGGGTCCGGGTGATTGAGTGTCCCGTGCCAGGCACACGCACAGGAGAGGGGAAGGCGAGGCCTCTGCCGCATGGAAGCGTGGCAGCAGTGGCAGCAGATGGTGTGACAGTTGGCAGTGCGTGGCAGCATGGCAGGGCGAGTGAGAGTGCGAGTGTGGGGCGAGAGGGTGTAGATGGTGGTGCGGTAGGTGGGAGCAGGGGAGGCGTGGGGGTGGAGGGAGGGGCGGGTGGAGGAAGGCGGTCGGTGCGCAGCACAGCAGGGCGGCACCCGGGCTTCGATGGCTTCCTGCTGCTGCCCCGCATCCGATGATGGCATGCTGTGGCATGGAGTCGCGTGGCGTGGCGCAGCGTGGCGTGCACACAGCGGTGCCAGAGCAGCACTCACAAGCAGATGTGTGATTGATGGTATGGCTACTGCAGGCCGTGCGCGTGCAGACTGACTAACCTAGTTACGGCGAGGAAGCACAGGATGGCTGAGCAGGCAGTGAAAATAAAACTTCAAGCCACGCATGTGCAGAGGAAGAGAAGGTGGTGGTGGTAGAGTTCTTGGCTGCTCGCTGTGGAAGAATGTTGCTGGAAAGGTGGTGGAAGGGTTGTAGAAAGGGTTGGCAGGGTGCGGTTGACAGTAAAGGCGAGTGGCCCGCAACAGGAGGTGTGGGGATGGGGGATGTTGCTCGACTGCCTTTCTTGATGTGTGGGGGAGGAAGGGGGAAGAGGGGAGGTGCCACCCTCCAAGGTCAGAATTCCTGATTGTTTGATTTGACACTAACCCACTAATTTCTCCATGCAGCATTCTTCCAAGAGTAACATCTTGTGATACTACAAACCCTGGGGTTGCTTGTTCAGGCGTGTGTGCTTACTACGGTAATGATTCAACAATGGTACCAGTTTGCTGTATCTACCAACAGTGTAAAGAGTACCTACGTACTTCCTTTCGGGGTTAATTGCTTCACGTACAGTACAAAACAAAGTGCAACCCAAACTCTCAGAATTGGATGTTTGGTTATTTCAATAGCACCGAGGTTGCCTCTCGTAACGTTCGAAAATTGTTTATGTGGGGATATGATACTCTGATACAAATCAGGCTGCCCAGACCACAATGCCAGCACTGCACATCCTAACTCGTTTTCGTGCGTTAATGTTGAAGTTTTTGCTACTTACCAGTTGTTCAAGCCTTCGTTCACCTTGTACCCAGGGCCCAAAATATCAGGGTAAAATGCCCTGATTACCCTGGGGGGCGGCCGCTTTTTCAGAGTTACCCTTTCAAAATCAGGCTTCCGAGATTTTTACCCTTACGCAAAAAGAGTGTTTTTTTTTACACTGATAGGAATTATGGTTACCCTGACGGTATCAGGGTGCGCTGCACATTACACTGAAACCGAATCCTCTGTAGGGAAGATTCTCCTTGCGAAGGAGCAAAACGTTAACATTGCCACCGGGACTCTAACTCTAAACCTCACAAACACCTAGCCAGAACCTAACCAGCTAAGACATGTCCTGTTGTGCAAACAGCGTAACTGCAAAAATAGACTTAAAAAAACAGTGTATGGAAGTTTTAACGAAAATTTACCCTGTTTTCAGCAGGGTACGAAAAATTTTACCCTAAGGGTCAGGGTACTGGGGTCTTGGAACCCTGATTTGTCAGGGTGGGCCAAAACCAATTTTGGGCTCTGCTTGTACCTTGCGTTTTCGTTCGTTTGTACTTCACTCATCGAGTTCTCCCACCGTAGCTCGTTATACATAGGAAAGATGCTCCATGCCAAATTCCACCACGCCTACTGCCGAGAATCATGAGCAGGAGCAGCAGCAGTGTTGAGAGCGAGCCCCAGTGAGAGGTCAGCACAGCGCATGAGAGGCAGGTGCGGCACCGCAGCCACGGCACGCTCCAGCAGCAGCGGCTGGCCGTCAGGGCACTGGTCCTGGGTGGGGGGGTGGTGGTAGCACGGCTCTGGAGGGGCAGGCGGGCAGGAGGAGGAGGAGGCAAAGCGGGCCGGGGTGTGGGGGGCGAGGGCAGCAATGAGGTAGCCGAAGGTGGAGGTGGGGGAGAGGAGGAGGGAGTGGGAGAAGAGGGCGAGGGAGAAGAGGTCGATGATGGCATCATCCACGTTGCGCCCGTCGCTGTTGTCCTGCTGCTCCTCCTCCGTCAGCTGCACCACCTCCACCTCCCCCCTGCCCCCACTGCTGCTGCTGCTGTCGCCGCTGGTGGTGCTGTTGCCACTGAGCGCAACCACCTTCCACTGGGCTGCTGCTGCTGTCCGGCGTCTCTGTGCCTGCTCGTGTTGATTCTTGGCTACCGGTGCCGCTGCCAGCAGGTTCCACAGCCCCTCTCACGTGCACGGGGTACCCCAGATGGTTGGACAGCAAACGGGAGAGGTTGTGAGCCAAGTGAGCATTCAGCGATGCCACCATCACCGATGCTGCCACCCCCCCTGCTGCCTCTGCAAAGCCCACAACAGCACCACCACTGGACGCATCAGCAGCACCATCGGCGCTGCGACTCACGGCAGCAGCCCCAGGCTGCCCTGCCAGCTGCCCGCTCACGGCCTCCCCAGCGCAGTGCCCCAGGACGAGCGTCCTCTCCCTCACGCGCTGCACGTCCCAGTTGTGCAAGAAGCGCCCCTGCACGCCCACCCTGCCCGGCAGCGGCGCAAGCAGCGCGTGGAAGCGTGCTGTGAGGCGCGCCCAGATGCGGTTGCAGGGGACGAGCAGCAGGCGGGCGAGTGAGTGGAAGGGGCGGTGCGTGGGGAAGAGCAGCAGCAGGGCGCGGCGGAAGGAGGGGAGGAGGTAGAGCGCAGGCAGGAAGTACTGGTTGGAGGAGAGCAGCAGCGTGGGCGCTCGTGCCAGCCAGCGCTGGTGGGCGTCACAGAAGAAAAGCAACGCTGGTGGGGGCGAGTGGTGGAAGAGATCCACTCGCAGTCTGAGGGGGAGGGGGGGAGGGGGAGGAGGGAGGGAGGTGGGCGACGAGTGATGCGGGTGTGGGGAGAGAATGAGGAGAGAGAAAGCGGGAATGCACTGGAGCACAATAGGTTGCACAAGACATGAGTGCAGAGGGTGCAGCAGACGAAATGAGGAATAGCGTGTCCAGTGCAAACAGTGCAATGGGCATGAGTGCGGGTCGTACAGCAGGCACAGCGGCTTCACATACATGGGTGGAACGGTGCACTCTGCACTGTGTGCCTCCCCACTGCTCTCAACCTCAGGAGCAGCAGCCACTGATAGCAACGGGGGCGGTGGTGGAAGTTGATTGGAGGCATTGCTGAGAGGGGATGGCAGGGATGGGGGAGTGGACGGCTGTATAACCAAGGGAGCAACAGCTGGGGCAGGTGCAGGTGCAGGTGCACCAGGAGCCACAGGCTGCTCTATTCCAGACAGCAACCGCCTCCTCGTGTCTCCACCCACACCACCTCCATCTCTCTTCCCCTGCTGCTGCTCCACCTGCTGCTGCCCCTGCTGCTGGGCCTGCTGCTGCTGCTGGCACACCTCCCACGCCTGGCTCCACTCAACCCCCTTCTCAGCAAACAAGCTCCATGCCTTCATCTCCTCCTCCACGCCCTCCCCCGGAAACAGCACCCACGACCCCTCCGGCCCCTCCCCCGCCTCGGAGAACGGCTCACAGAGAAGCGCTGCAGGGCCGTTGGGGCGGGCGAGCAGGAGGATGCGGCGGGAGAGCAGCGCGAGGGCGAAGGCGGAGACGAGGGAGAGCAGGCGGTTTCCCTGGCCGTCGGGGTTGTGCTGCCACACCAGGTACCGGCACTCGCTGCCGTTGCCCGCCAGCAGCGTGGCGCGCAGCTGCTGCAGGGGCTCCCTGTGGAGGCACTCCCGCCGGTACCGCTGGTACTCATGCATCTTGCGCACCAGCACCTCTGACTCGCGCTCCGCCTCTGCTTGCCCCTGCGACTCAGCCTCAGCCTGCACTTGTGACTGTGCATGCACTGTGCGCCCGTGCTCGGCATAGCATGCCATCTCAGCTCGGCTCCAGCACTCCCCGTCTTGCCTCCTGTACCGCATGTGATGGCCCCACTCCCCTGCTGTGCTGCTGCTGCTGCTGCTGGCATCCGGGGAGGCGGCATTGGGGAAGGTGGTATCTGGGTTGTGTGTGGCGTTTAAGGGAGTGAGAGCCACTCCCGCTGCCATGATGTGAGCACAGTCTGGAGGTGAGGGAAGGGGAGGCATGTGGGCAGGGGAGGAAAGAGGTGCTCACGAAGTTAACGGAAGGCATGGGGTGTTTGCATATGCATGGTGAAAGGTGCAGCGACTGTGGGTTCTCATGCAGGCATGAGAGGAACGAACGAGTGCGTGTTTATAAATTTAACAAGCTATGCACGCGCACGTGGTTCCAGTGCAGGTCTGCGACATGGACTTAACCGAGCGAGGGGTGGCTTCCGATGCACACCTCAACTGGAAGGCAGAAACTAGGTCTGTTGTTTTGAATAAGCTTACTGTTTTCCATTTGAACAGCGTAATAGTAGTATTAGAAAGCACAATTCGCTTAACCTGGTATATAGATTCAAAGAGTGTGTTGGATACACACCTGTTCTTGCTTTCCAGTTCAAGCCTGCAGACTGCATCGCTCAGAGGTGACCCCTTGCTCAGAGGTGACCCCTTGCTCAGAGGTGACCCCTTGCTCAGAGGTGTCCCCTTGCTCATGTTGGTATTAACCCTACCAGGCCTGCGATGGAACCACCATCGCTTGGGAAAACAAGCATAAGAAGAGCGACCCACTCAAACCACTCGTTTTGCGTAAGAAAAGCCTACCGCAACCTTGGACACATGGCCGACAGGGGGACAGGGGCAGGGCGGCAGGGTGGCAGGCCATGTACCTCTGAGCTGGTTGCGGTGTAAGAGCTGTGCGTGGGAGGAGGGAGGAGAGAGCAGGCACGCGAGCAGCAGCAGGTGGGCGTGGTGCAGCGCCCATGGCGGCCACAGCCTTGGAGTATGCAGTGAGTGCAGACGAGGCCGTGCGCCTGGCATGGCGGCTGCACACACAGAGGGCGCCGGGGTGCGTGCTGGAGAGTGGTGGTGGTTGGAGTGAGGAGAGTGGTGGTGGTTGGAGTGAGGAGAGTGGTGGTGGTTGGAGTGAGGAGAGTGGTGGTGGATGGAGTGAGGAGGGTGGTGGTGGATGGAGTGAGGAGAGTGGTGGTGGTTGGAGTAAGGAGAGTGGTGGTGGATGGAGTGAGGAGAGTGGTGGTGGTTGGAGTGAGGAGAGTGGTGGTGGATGGAGTGAGGAGAGTGGTGGTGGTTGGAGTGAGGAGAGTGGTGGTGGATGGAGTGAGGAGAGTGGTGGTGGTTGGAGTGAGGAGAGTGGTGGTGGTTGGAGTGAGGAGAGTGGTGGTGGTTGGAGTGAGGAGAGTGGTGGTGGTTGGAGTGAGGAGAGTGGTGGTGGATGGAGTGAGGAGAGTGGTGGTGGTTGGAGTGAGGAGAGTGGTGGTGGTTGGAGTGACGAGAGTGGTGGTGGTTGGAGTGAGGAGAGCGGTGGTGGTTGGAGTGAGGAGAGTGGTGGTGGTTGGAGTGAGGAGAGTGGTGGTGGTTGGAGTGAGGAGAGTGGTGGTGGATGGAGTGAGGAGAGTGGTGGTGGTTGGAGTGAGGAGAGTGGTGGTGGTTGGAGTGAGGAGAGTGGTGGTGGTTGGAGTGAGGAGAGTGGTGGTGGTTGGAGTGAGGAGAGTGGTGGTGGATGGAGTGAGGAGAGTGGTGGTGGTTGGAGTGAGGAGAGTGGTGGTGGTTGGAGTGAGGAGAGTGGTGGTGGTTGGAGTGAGGAGAGCGGTGGTGGTTGGAGTGAGGAGAGTGGTGGTGGTTGGAGTGAGGAGAGTGGTGGTGGTTGGAGTGAGGAGAGTGGTGGTGGTTGGAGTGAGGAGAGTGGTGGTGGTTGGAGTGAGGAGAGTGGTGGTGGATGGAGTGAGGAGAGTGGTGGTGGTTGGAGTGAGGAGAGTGGTGGTGGTTGGAGTGAGGAGAGTGGTGGTGGTTGGAGTGAGGAGAGTGGTGGTGGATGGAGTGAGGAGAGTGGTGGTGGATGGAGTGAGGAGAGTGGTGGTGGATGGAGTGAGGAGAGTGGTGGTGGTTGGAGTGAGGAGAGTGGTGGTGGTTGGAGTGAGGAGAGTGGTGGTGGTTGGAGTGAGGAGAGTGGTGGTGGTTGGAGTGAGGAGAGTGGTGGTGGATGGAGTGAGGAGAGTGGTGGTGGTTGGAGTGAGGAGAGTGGTGGTGGTTGGAGTGAGGAGAGTGGTGGTGGATGGAGTGAGGAGAGTGGTGGTGGATGGAGTGAGGAGAGTGGTGGTGGATGGAGTGAGGAGAGTGGTGGTGGATGGAGTGAGGAGAGTGGTGGTGGTTGGAGTGAGGAGAGTGGTGGTGGTTGGAGTGAGGAGAGTGGTGGTGGATGGAGTGAGGAGAGTGGTGGTGGTTGGAGTGAGGAGAGTGGTGGTGGATGGAGTGAGGAGAGTGGTGGTGGTTGGAGTGAGGAGAGTGGTGGTGGTTGGAGTGAGGAGAGTGGTGGTGGTTGGAGTGAGGAGAGTGGTGGTGGATGGAGTGAGGAGAGTGGTGGTGGTTGGAGTGAGGAGAGTGGTGGTGGTTGGAGTGAGGAGAGTGGTGGTGGATGGAGTGAGGAGAGTGGTGGTGGATGGAGTGAGGAGAGTGGTGGTGGATGGAGTGAGGAGAGTGGTGGTGGATGGAGTGAGGAGAGTGGTGGTGGTTGGAGTGAGGAGAGTGGTGGTGGTTGGAGTGAGGAGAGTGGTGGTGGATGGAGTGAGGAGAGTGGTGGTGGTTGGAGTGAGGAGAGTGGTGGTGGATGGAGTGAGGAGAGTGGTGGTGGTTGGAGTGAGGAGAGTGGTGGTGGTTGGAATGAGGAGAGTGGTGGTGGTTGGAGTGAGGAGAGTGGTGGTGGTTGGAGTGAGGAGAGTGGTGGTGGTTGGAGTGAGGAGAGTGGTGGTGGATGGAGTGAGGAGAGTGGTGGTGGATGGAGTGAGGAGAGTGGTGGTGGTTGGAGTGAGGAGAGTGGTGGTGGATGGAGTGAGGAGAGTGGTGGTGGATGGAGTGAGGAGAGTGGTGGTGGATGGAGTGAGGAGAGTGGTGGTGGTTGGAATGAGGAGAGTGGTGGTGGATGGAGTGAGGAGAGTGGTGGTGGTTGGAGTGAGGAGAGTGGTGGTGGTTGGAGTGAGGAGAGTGGTGGTGGTTGGAGTGAGGAGAGTGGTGGTGGATGGAGTGAGGAGAGTGAAGCGGGGGGAGAGGAAGGGGAGGGGGCGTGGTGCTGATGAACCGACGCAGGTTGGTATGGCAGGGGAGGCCCTGGCTCTGCCAGAGGACGGTGTGTGCGTGGGAAGGAGGGGAGGAGGAACGGAGGGACAGTAGAGAGCACGAGGGCTGGAGGTGGGGAAGGAGAGAGGGTTTTGAGAGAGGGACAACGCATTGCAAAGTCGGGAACGCGTGGACAGGCGGAAGCACAAGGGGAAGCGCGCACGGGGAAGCGCGGCGGTGAGAAGGGGAAGCGCGGAGGTGAGAGGGGGGAGAGAGTGGGAGAGGCGAGAGCGAGCGATAACGAAGCTTGAGTCGCGGAAGAGCAGAAAGAGGATGCCGCAAGACGGGAGGTGAGATGCGAGGAGAAACGGAGTGAGAAGAGAGAGAAGGGGGCGCGCGGGGAACCGAGGGCAAGTGCGACGCACGCAACGAGCACGGCGAGGGAGGGATGGCGGCAGCGGAGCGATCGCACGTCGACGCCGCTCACAGCGGACGTGATTCATGTGCGCATCGTCGTTTCCGACGTGGCCGCACGCGGCCGTCGACGCAACGTTTCTTTCCCAGGGGTAGTACGGAATTGGGTCGAGAGTCTAGGCACAGAAATTGTCTGAGTGGACTCGCAGATTCATGAGGATTGTAACATGCGCTTACAGAGCGTGCAAAATAAACTGTTATGAGTTGTAAAACAGTTGCGCGGAATAACGAGCTGTGACTCAATGAACTGCCAATACAATGAAGGCACGAAATAATATAGTGACTAGCCTAGCTAGGAGGGAATCTCGGGAATGCGATGTTGGTGCTACGATCAGATGTTGATCGTCCCTAGGATCACCTCAGGAAGGTTCGCACACACTTGGTTGGTAGTGGTGGGCCCTTGACCTCAATTCAGAGTAGATGTAAAATGATTGAGATAGATAAAAAACATGCATATACAGAAATATAAATAAGAGTACCGTACAAGGGAATACGAATCGACCTAGGCTAGCCATGTAAGTGGGTACATTCTGTCACATAATTACGCTGACCGGCAGTGCTCTACCAGGCGGGCAGAGTAATACTGAGACAGCAGAAACTGTATGAGGGAGAAGGCGTACAAGGAGCGCACTGTACAGGAGCGACTGGACTTGTAGCGAGGCATGTGGCACAATGGGGTACGCGGGGACAGTGGGTTGCGTATGAGGTGTGGAATGCGGTGTGTGAGTGTGCACTGTACATAAGAATGGCATGTCGGATGGGTGTGAGAATGCGCGTGGTATGAGCATGGTTCTTTTCCTGTGTCTGCAGGTGCTACCAAACCATAGCGATGTCAGAATCTAGAGGCAGGAATGAATCAACTATGAAAGAGTTGGGTACAAGTATGAAACCCTAAAAAGGGTTGTACCCCATATTGGCTACCCCACTACAGCCTACACATATATAACATGCATATACTTTGACACACCCCCATAGGCAAAGTGGGGGAGAGCAAGGGGTCACAAGACCAGTCAAGAGAAGCAAAGCAAGCTCAGGGTGGATCACAACGTCACCACACACACTGAGCACAAGCAAAGGGCCACAAGGCCAGTTCACATGCAGAGGTATATATGCAACAACAACAGCACAATGATCTCTACCTAGCAGAGCAAGCATGCAGGTATATATATAGATCACAGTACAAGCAAAGTCTACAACAAGTGAGGAAACGTGGGCACAAGGCCTAACAGAGTGCAAAAACGCTGATGATCACCAGACGGAAGCACCTTGGTGAATATATCAGCAGTGTTGGCCCGAGTGGCCACGTGAGCAAGACGAAGCTGACCACGCTGCTGCAACTCTCGAGCCAGGAAGTAACGTAGAGCGATGTGCTTCGTTCTGTGCTCCAGTCTGTGCTCCTGACACAAGGCAATGGCGGCCTTGTTGTCGACGTACAGCACTGGAGGAGAACGAGGCCTCTCTCCCAAGTCGGTCAGCAGGTAGGTGAGCCAGCGTAACTCCTGTGCAGCCATGGCTGTGGCGTAGATCTCAGCCTCACAACTGGAGCCGAGAACAGAGGACGAGCGTGTAGACCGCCAAGAAACAGAGCCAGAGCCAAGGCTGAAGGTGTAACCCTGTGACGACCGCTGCGTAGCCTGGTCGTCAACCCAAGAAGCGTCCGAGTGCCCAGTGAGGACAACGTCGCCCCGTCCTCCAAGCACGAGCCCCATGCCCGATGTACTGCACAAGTAGCGCAGTACCCTCTTAGCAGCATCCATGTGCACCTTTCGGTGCCGACCAGGAGCCACGTAGCGAGCCAGAAGGCCAAGAGGGTACGCAAGGTCAGGACGAGTGCAGGTCATCGGGTACATGAGGCAGCCCACTAGCTCTGGATAAGGACCACTCGGCTCTACGGACTCGTCCGAAGGTGGAGCTGAGAGCGAGTGACCTGTAGCCAGAGGAGTGGCCTGTGCCGAGGACCAGGTGAAGCCGAAGCGCTGAAGGACCTGCTGCACCATGTGTGACTGAGTCAGTGTGATGGTGCGGCGTGCTCTGTCCCGGGTGATCTGCAAGCCAAGGTAGCTGCGCAGCTCACCCAGGTCTGTGCACGTGTGTCTCTTCTGCAGCTCTGACTTCACCAGGGCGAGAGACTCAGTGTCAGCAGTGGCAAAGACCAAGTCGTCGACGTACACGAGGATGTAGAACGGCGGCAGCGAAGTGTCGGTGCGCAGAAACAGCGACGGGTCAGCAGTCGACGGAGCAAACCCAAGAGCCGCAAGTGTCGTCCTCAGTGTGTCGTGCCACTCACGTGGCGCCTGGCGGAGACCGTAGACCGGCCGCCGGAGGCTCCACTGGGTACCAGGAGGGAACGACCCAGTGAAGCCAGGTGGGCGGCGCAGCCAGATCTCCTCGTGCAGGCTGCCCTGTAAGAAGGCTGTGCTGAAGTCAAGAGAGTGAAGCTCGTAGTCCCGCTGAGCGGCAACGTGCAGCAGCACCCGAAGAGTGGTCATCTTCGGGGTGGGGGAGAAGGTCTGGAAGAAGTCTACTCCCTCTCGCTGACTGAAACCTCGTGCAACGTAACGCGCCTTGAAGACAGGCGGAGAACCCGGCGGCCGCTTCACCATGAAAATCCACATGCCACTGACGATGTTCGCCCCAGGTGGGGGAACCTCGTCGACGTAAGTGCCTGTGGACTTCCAGGATGCCATCTCTGCGTCCATGGCTGTCTCCCACTGAGAGGAGTACTCACCCGTGATCGCCTCAGCGTAAGAGCGCGGGGTCGGGATGTCTGGAGCATCCGGGTCTCCCTCAGGGGCAAGCAGCATGGACACGAGATGAGGCGCAGCGGCTGCAAGACACTCAAGGTCCTCCTGCCTGTCCTCAAGGACGTCCGTGCCAAGAGCACACTCACCCCCGACGGACGGAGGACAGACAGACTCAGACTCAGCAACAAGACTAGCGGCGTAGTCTAGACGACAGGCAGCAGCAAAGTCAACAAGCTCAGCGACTAAGGCAGACGCAGCAGCAGACTCAAACGACGGGTCAGTGACAACTGTGGCTAGCAGACGCGTGACAGTAGGGTGAGCAGCACGAGCGCGGTCAGACTCAGGCTCTGGAACGTCAGGCAGAGAAGACGCACGAGGGGACGGCCGGGGAACACGCTGCGGAGCAGAGGAAGGACGCAGGGCCATGAGGTGTGTGCCGGGGACAGCCGGCGGACGCTCACGAGGAACACGACGACCAGTACGACCAGTGCGGACAGTGCGAACAGGCGAGACAGGACGAGACGCATGCTCACGACGCTCAGAAAGACCGCCTGTCAGCTCAGTGTAAGGAGCAGGAGCAGGCAGCGGTGAGCCAGGCTGTAACGGAAGACCAGTAGAAGATGGGAGGCTAAGAACCTGGCGAAGCACGGAGCCAGGCGGTGGCAGAGACGAAGGTGACGGCGGAGCGAAGAACAGTCGCGGCGGTGCAGTGACACCAGCACCAGTAGCTTCAGCACCTCCTGCAGCTCCAGAACCTCCAGCGCCAGCACCCGCAGCAGCTCCAGAACCTCCAGCGCCAGCGCCACCAGCGCCAGCACCTCCAACAGCCCCAGAACCTCCAGCGCCAGCACCTCCAACAGCTCCAGAACCTCCAGCGCCAGCACCCGCAGCAGCTCTAGAACCTCCAGCGCCAGTGCCACCAACGCCAGCACCTCCAACAGCTCCAGAACCTCCAGCGCCAGCACCCGCAGCAGCTCCAGAACCTCCAGCTCCAGCGCCACCAGCGCCAGCACCTCCAACAGCTCCAGAACCTCCAGCGCCAGCACCCGCAGCAGCTACAGAACCTCCAGCTCCAGCGCCACCAGCGCCAGCACCTCCAACAGCTCCAGAACCTCCAGCGCCAGCACCACCAGCAGTAGGACCCCCAGAGCCGGCACCTCCAGCTCCAGGGCCCCCAACCTCAGAGTCGACAGCAGCACCTCCAGGTCCAGCAGGACCTCCAGTCCCAGCAGCTCCAGTACCTCCAGTACGAGCACCTCCGGGACCAGCTGCTCCAGGAACTCCAGTAGAAACAACACCAGTAGTAGAGTCACCAGCTCCAGCGCCTCCAGCAGCAGGGCCCCTAGCTCCAGCAGCGCGACTCTGACGGCTAACGTACCACTCACGCAGCTGCTGTGGGGAGAGAGGGACAGCGCCGGCTCCAGTGCCTCTAACACCAACACCTCCCGCAGCAGGGCCCCCAGCTCCAGCAGCTCGACCCTGACGGCTAACGTACCACTCACGCAGCTGCTGTGGGGAGAGAGGGAGACGACGACGAGAGTGCAGCGGGGAGGCACCAGCGGAGCGACTACGGAGACGGCCGCTCCAGGGAGACTGCTCACCAGACGCCTCAGCGCCCCCAGGTGCAGCACCCCCAGACTCAGTACCCCCAGGCTCAGCACCCCCAGACTCCTCACGCCCAGGCCCAGCACCTCCAGGCTCCGCACCCCCAGGCTCAGCACCCCCAGGCTCCGCACCCCCAGGCTCAGCACCCCCAGGCTCCGCACCCCCAGGCTCAGCACCCCCAGGCTCCGCACCCC